GACAAGTCTCTGCGAAGGCAAACCTCCCCAAAGATATGTTTCTTCTGCTTCGGGTGTCGGGAGCAGCCACTCCAACGCCTGCTCGTCTCGATAGTCTTGTCTATTGGACAGTGGGAAAAGAAAAGAAAAAAAAGGAAAAGCCCAAGTCCACAGCGAGCCGTTCCAGCCAGAAGAAAAGAAGACCAAAGCGTCACGGCTCGCTTCCCCTGAGGCACACTATCAGATACTGTTGGCATCTCCCATGTGCTTGTGTTGTGCACATCTTGCCTGGATGTATGGGAATATCTAGATTGTGGCGTTTCTGACCTCTTGCAGCCTGCAACCCTTGATCCTAAACATGCGTTAGCGTTGGGAATATCTGGATTATCTCGATGAAGAGGCGAAAGATGAACCTTACCTGGTCAAAGTTAGCCATCGGAGTAACCACCTTAACTCTAGCTGCCTGCAGAGCACTTTTGTGTACATATATAAAGGCTTGTACAGGAGTTGACCGGTTCACCCTGAAGTTAGCAACCGTTAGTTATATGAGTCAAAATTTTTTTTTGAAATCCCTACGTATTTTATTCAGGCAACAATCATATCTCTGATAAGAAAACGCTGCCTTTGAGGCCACCTGGAGAAATGGTATCTCCAGCCTGGGTTCTTGTCCATCCTCGTGTCGTGAGTTGTTGAGTTGCGGTTTTTGCGTCTTGCGAAAGACGAAGTTCTTATTGCTTAACTAAGCCAAACGTTATTATTAACGAATAAGTCTTAATAAGCGTAAACTATCATTGGTAATTTAGCAACATCGCGATCGATATTTCTGATATCTTCAGCCAATGAGTATCACTAATAATGTTAAGTGTGCGACGATGGCAACTTACTTCGTCTAGGCCCTGCTCGGGGTGCTAGCTCACGAAAAAAACATCGTATTCCAGGAAGCTCACGTCACAACATCCTGCGTACTGTATTATTAGTGTGTCGATGAATAAAACGCCCCGCCATATCGGATAGTTACCTTTGACGTGACAGAGTCGCTTCGCAGGAATAACAGTTATGAGTCTGCTAGAGGAATATGCATAGTGGAAGATTCGGTCGACAAATGACTGTGGCCTGGCTTCCAAACCTAAGAGGCCGCACTCTCAGCCCCGGCTGACCTTTTGCCGTCTCTCGAACAAGTTATTTTTAGCCTGGACTGGCTTCAATGCTCAACTAGACGTCTCTTTAGCGGGGATCTATCTCTGCCGTCTGAGCCGATCGTATGTACTGTCTGCGCGGCTCTTAGAATTACCGAATGACGGCGAGACAGATGGAAAGTGAGGAGTTCTGAGGTGGATATCTGGATGCCTTGACTAAAGCTTTAATCACAGAAAAGGCATCATTCGAATTACCCCATATTATCCTTAACATCCTTGACAAGCTCGAGGAGTTCCTCTGCAAATACAAAATCACCCTCCCCTTGACTAGGGCCAGGACGACGAAATAACATATCACGGAAAGGTATAGTTAAATCCGTTCCCTCCACCTTGTCTAGCTTGCCAGCCTTGTCTCTATATATTCTTACCTCTCCAACTACTCTCGGTTTGAGCCCAGGATGCTGTCTAATGGGTAAGACGCCACCCTCTCATATGCTGATATATTGCCGTTTGTCTTCTTAATAGATATAGCCCGCAAAACGTCCCATTTGAGCTATAAAGGCACTATGACACGTTGTCTTTCACCTTTTCTAGGGATTCTGAGTAGGCTACCTCGAGTGCAACCGTTGGCCATTCCATAGATCTGCCGGGTGGTCTCTAGCGTGGACCCCATAAGGTATCAGCCTCCTTATCTTTACCCCACGTTATTGAGGATATATGACGCCAGGCTCCCATGCTTTATGCCTTCAAGGCGACTAAACCACAGGAATGACCGTGAGCCTCTTCGTAGGGGAGACGTAGCGTACTAATGGTAGTCAAGTCCTCTGAAACATCTGCTGTCAATTTTATCGACTTCTGACCGTAACGTGTGTATAAAAATGTGGACTTTTGCCTTCATATAAAAAAACGATCGTATTTTTGGCTTATTATTCTGCGCTTCTAGCCTGGGGTATCTGTATCTAGCGGTATCTGGAGAATGAGTCTTCATTTCCATGATACTTAATGCTTCTTGGAGGATATTGTATGTTCTGAGCACTCAAATACAGCCAGTGCATTAACCAGATACAAGTATTTTCCTTTTTTAGAAAAGAGAAGGCGATATATTCTGTCATTTGAATAGTGAATCAATAGCCAATTTATATGGACAGCGTGGCGAGGATGACAAATCGAGTAGTTAGTCAAGGCCAAGCAAGATAATTCACTAATCAACTAGTTAAGCAGTTGACTTCGTCATGTCTTTACAACAACTATTAGAGCCAAGAAGCAAGAAGCCATGAAAGATAATTATTCGTCTGTATACACTTGACACATTATTCATAGTATAGGCTTGATGCCACTCAGCTGATAATGAGCGGTTTACGGCGCTTTCACGTCAAATCGAGGCATGGCTGCAGCCAGTGCAAGAAAAGAAGAGTCAAAGTGCGTTAATTTTGCGTATACATCTGCTGGTTCGGATATCTAATACAGCCTCTGTACGATTGAAGAAAGATTGCCTGGTGCTAACTATGCAACAGTGTGACGAACAACCGCCTAGATGCGGTGGTTGCTCAAAACGCGGTTTGAAATGTGACTATGAGGAGCTCTTAGTAGAGCCTGGCAAGGAACCAGAGTGCTCTTCATTGGTGAACTCGAGCGCAAAGCGTATTATATTCGAGTTCCACCCATTGATGGATGAGTTCAATAGAGCACACACTTCCTGTGCCCATTCTAATGAGATCATGTCGGGGGCAAGGACGGAAGACATTGGAAAGACAAATACCCGGCGGATAAGCGACCTTCACACCTCGTTGACCCCTTATACAGATTTGAACGAGCAAGATCTACTGTTACTACATCATTATAAGACCATTGCATGTCATACCCTATTCAGCGATGAACTCAAAGGGCCGATCTGGCAGTTTCTTGTGCCCGAGCTGGCTTGTATATACCCCTTTGTGATGCATAATATATTATCCCTGGCCGCCATGCACCTTGCATATTTGAAGCCGGATTTCTCGGCAACTTACACACAAGTCTCGGCAAGACATCAGTCACACGTCATCAAATCTGCCCAGGCTCGCGTTGCTAGTCAAGAGGTAGACAGGGAGAACTGCAGTGCGGTCGTGATATGCTCGAGTCTTCTCCTGGTCTATGAATTAGCCATCCTGCATCCTTCTTACTTTGTTCAGGCTCGGACGGCGACCACTCCCTTTGATGAGATAGTCCAGAAAATGTTGGTAATGCGCCGCTTGGTTGGACTATGGACCCTAAGTATGCCCCTATTTAGACAAGGTCCGGCCCGAATATTGCTGTCCAGAGGGAAACCTGAGATGACGGAACCACTGGCAAGCGAAATACGACAGTCCCTCGATGGTATTAAAATGGCTAATAACATGCTGGCTACCAACAAGGAAGAACAAGATGCATACCGAATGGCAATTGATTCACTGTGGCTCTGCTTTGAGACTTGTACCCTTTCGAACCCGCCAGACTGGCTTATGGGGATGGCGTGGCCCAACCTGGTTCCTCAACTGTTCATGTCCGCGTTGATAGGGAGGAAGCCGCCAGCGTTGGTTATTACTGCTCACTATTGTACGTTACTATATCTCTATCCACAAGGTTGGTGGATGAACGGGTGGCCCCAACCAGTGCTCTTATCGCTCATCAGGGCTGCAGCTGTTGAGGACAATGCGCATATCTGGAAACCTCTATTTTCATGGCCAGCCAATGTTATTGGTGTTCCACTGGAAGAAGGCCTGGTAGGATAACGGAAAAGGATCATTTCCGCTTAGATACATGATGGCCACTCACACACTTCTATCCATAAGTAATATAGCTTAAACACGAATTTATCTACATAGTCATCCCATTGACGGAACTGGGGATGAATTGACAGCTGACTAACATGCACCTCTACCGTCTCCAACCGGTATACCGGGATTTTTTTGGACGAATGCGCAGTATATAGGGTAATAGTTGCTCAGGGGTTAATGCCGACCTCCCAACCCCCCCGCAGCTCCAGTTACGTAACTATTTTGGTAAAAATGTATAAGGGAAAGATGTACAACACATACTTCTTAGATATAGATGCCTGCGGTCCTCTGGGAAAAATAAATTCGACCTTCGCAGCCCTTAATACTACGGCGTATCCCCCCTCCCTCCAAAACTTGATAACCGCTCTCTACGCATAGAGCCGTTGGGCCTTGAAATCTGGTGGCTCCACTCCTTGAAGATGCCATTTGACAACGGTGTAAGGGTGGAGGGGAAAGGGGTATATATGCTTCTCTGGAAGACTTCAGTCGACGCCCTATACCACTGGGGAATCCTGATTGCTACGGGCGAGAAAATGGGAACCCTCTTTCATCAGACATATAACAGAGAGATGTGGCATCTGGCGGTAGAAATTAAGGACGTTACTCTGTCTCAAAGCCTTCTCTGTGCCTTGAAGCTGGGCGCCGTGGAAGACTATGGGGGTACTTGGATGAACGCCATTGAGGCTTGCATTCGCCAAACCGAGGTGAAGGGAGAGTTCACCTGTCGAACCTGGGCATTGGCTGCTGTATTCGAGCTAGCTGACGGAGGCTTTATCGGTATGGATGCTTCCTGGGATAAAATCTCTGAGATTGAGACAGAAGCAAAATTTCTGGCTGGCGACGCAAGTTACTTTGACGAAGTAAAGGTCGAAGCAAGCAATGTCAGTCATGCTTGAGGTCAAGGGCAACCCCAAAGATGCAATATGGGATGTTATACTGCATCTTCGACGGCAGTGGCTTATATGGTATCCTTCTGACCCCGCGAGTTAGTATCATAGTACCCGATAAGTCTCTAGCAGTAACCCTTATTCCATTTCGTTTCGAGATTATTCATCTATATCGATACACCCACAACCACACCCTGTTTATCAACCAGCGATAATACCTGAATACTCAGATCACTAATAAGATTGACTTCATAAACCTGATTCTAATATTATGAGTAAAGAAAGAAGCAATGAACTCCCAAGGAGAAGGGTATTTCAGTCAATAGACAGGCTTTTTATCCCAAATGAGCTTCTCAGCTTCGAGCTCTTCATGATAACTCTCATCAAATGCGAAACTAAGGTCCAGTTCTCGTTGCCTATCACCCATGGATGACCACAGAGCTCGTGTAAACTCCCAATATTCTGGTTTGAAACATGCGCTCTCCCAGTCGACAATGCCAGACAATCTCCCAGAGTGAATGAATAGGTTGGAAAGATGCAGGTCGGAGTGAGTAAAGACTATTCTGTGATCCTTCTTGTATAGGACCGAAATGGGGTACTCGCTTCTAAGCTCTTCAAGGCCCTCTGTGAGCATATTAGTGAATCCATCTTTTGTACGGTAAGGACCCCATATACTGCCTGTATCGGTCCGGTGGTCAGTGGTTGGTCCCCCTAGCGTATTGCAAATAAGGTAAGGAGACGTATTTCGTATTTGACGGTACTGCAAGATATATTCTTTCAGGTCTTTTGAAAGCTGGACACGTTCTTCATATGTCATACGATAGTAAACGGTGTTTACTGGAACACCTGGTACCCTTGACATGAGAAGATATCCATCTCCCTGGTTATCTCTAGCAAAGCCAATTAGCTGAGGTGCCGGGACTTTCGTTTGCTTTTCGATTAAGAGTAGAGCGTTTGCTTCATTTTCCATCACTCGATGTCCAATCTTTAAGCAAAGGCCAAAGGGTAAAAACCTAACAAACTTATCACTAGGGGGGTCCCAGCGATCTTGTACTCGAATAATAAGCTTGATAAGTTTTAGCCGGAGGGATCGTGGGAGGATGTAAAAGAGCCTTCGTAAGACACACCGGCTGAACGTTCTAGTAGGTCCGGTGTCTAGTACAAGGGGTGAGTATAATTCGTAACGTGAACGAGAATATAGAGTATAACTGACATTCGCCATCTATTTTCCACCCGGCCTGTATTTGTTTTTCGATAGCCAAGTAGTACGTAAATTGAGGAATACGTTCATGGATCCTAAGTAAAAATCCTTCAGGTAAAGGAAGGCGGGTCTGGTCTGGAGTGGACGGCATGATAGATAATTTGCAGTTCTTTGGGAGGCCTGGGACCACAAAGCGACCAGGCGAAGTTTTTCGGATCATCCACTGTATACACAATGGCATAAGAGCTCAGTAGAGTTCCAATCAGGTGGAGGACTAACTTTGCTTACATGTAATTTTTTAGGATTAGATTCATTCTTGTGCATTGAAATATATCCGTCTCGGAATGCAAACGACACAGGCGGGCTCATCAACCATAAATTTTTTAGGTTGTCACTAGTATTCTTGCAGGACTTTAGAAAAGAGAAGAGTTTGTTGACTAGCTCCGGGGTTACGGATGCCTCCAAGATTTCGCGTAATCGGGTCTATATATTATTATGAGGTGGGTCCTGAAGATAGTGATTTTGGGCGAAGGGGAACCTACACCGGGCTGGAGGTCATCATCATTTAGGACTGAAGGGGAGATGATATGGGTCGCCCTAAGGTCCTGGGAACTGCCCGAGATATAACAAATATTATTCTGGCGCTCCCGAAGAGCCGCAATAGTGCCACTGGATACCAGGGTGCTCCGGGAGACTTTCCATGTTGTTAGCATATAAGAAAATACACGAGGACCCCAGAACATACACTTTTCGGCCAGAGACCGCAAATCATGTATCATAGAGCGCAAAAAATCCTCCCTTGAGTCATCTTGGCTCAAATTTGAGAGTTTATCCAGAAGAAACTGGCCGGACATATTTCGATCAACGGCATGGTTCAAGAAGAAGTGCAACTGTAGGTGTTCCCAGGCAGAAAGCTGAGCAGAGTAGACAGCTGCTCTGGCTGTCCAAAATGGAACATCATCTTCTTTTACCATGATCAGCAACTCATTCAACTGTGGCTACCGTCGACAGGAAATCTGGATACACATAGATTTGTGCTTTAAGAGAGTATGGCAGCTTGAGAAAAAGGGGTGTTGTGATAGATGTATAACCGTTGATTGTTTATACACCAAGGAGAGGTTGCCTAGAATCGCTTCTCATTGGTTGAACCTTCTTTGGCCTTGCGTAGCACACGTGATATTATCCGCGTTCGTATGAAAGATATATTAGTCAGCTACGACCGGTCCAAGCGTCTTCCAAAGTTTCTAAATATAAAGTTAAAGGCTGGACGTCTTTAAAACGCCGTCATGTAACATAACTATTAATTATCTGTCTGATTATACTAATGCGAAGCGGATATTTTATTCTTACCCCCGTATACTCACTATCCTCCTTGTTCCTCGGCTTACCTGGAATATGTCTACAAAAACTTAGAATAGCACTGGTACCAAGACCCGGTACCACCAGCCCGAATGATCATTTGTCCTTGTTGGAAATTGTAACTGATCATGCAGTGGCACCTACTAGGCGAACAATCGTGTTAATATACTGTATTCACGGGCTTGACATGTTCTCTTTGTCTTGCCCAGCCTGCTCTTTGTTCTCAACCACGAGTGCGTTACTCAAAACGCTGGAATCGGCCTCATGCTTTTCCTATGGGCGTAGCCGTGCGGCGTTGTCTGGAGCCACTGACAGTCAATTTATACCTGTTGTTCAAGACCATGATGACCCTTTCTGAGTCCTAGATCCTAGGAAGATAACTACAGCCAGCTTACTCTCAGACCGTTTATCGTATATTGCTCTCCCTCTCACTTCCTTCGTATTGGATTGCCAAAGTTGCGAATGTTTGTGTGTTACTTTCCAGGAGACGGTATCTTTGGAACATCACTAATGTTGTAAGTTAACGATTGGACTCGCAAATTTTTTTCAGCTATGAAGTCGAATTATTGACAGGAGCTTTCTAGCACGCCATTGCCGATACTTGCTTCTTTATCTAGATCAAATTTATACACTGCCGCGCCCTCGTCACAACAGAAGACCAGAGAACCGCGCCCTGGCTATAACGTTTGTGGAGAGACTATAGCAATAAGGTTGAAAACATCGATGCGAAATATGTTTAGATGGAATCACTCTAAAGCGCGTACCCACCGGCGACAAACATATAAGAGACTGGAGTAAATTTCCGCATTATCTCCATTGTTAGGCGTTTACGTTGATATCTTGAAATGGACGCCCTCGATAAAGGATACCTCTAGCACCTAGTATCTTTTACTACCGTGAGGTCTTAGTCAAACCAAATTTGAATGAATCCATACAATTTAACAATGCAATATACAAAGAATTGTCCAGTCTGATATTATTCACAAGAAAACAATAATGTCGAAAGGAACCGTCCGGCGTTTCCTAGTATATAATACAAATCTCAAAAAAAAAAAAAAAAAATAGAGCTGAAATGGTGGGCTTTGTCAGGAGAACCCCGTACACGCGTAGTCTAGATCGTTTAGCTATATCTAAAGCTAGGAGGGAATAATAACGGTGTAAATTGGGTCACTATGCGTGGCATTTATCTGTCGGTGAGGGTAGCTCGAGTGGGTAGACACCATCACCCTTTACAACATCCGGCCCTGGGTTTGGATATTTCACCTCTGCATTGGTTCGGGTGGTCTTGCAGCCGTTGTTTATATTGGCGACAAGGAAATCCGGACGATCGTTGAAAGCGATAGCGGAACTCTTGATGTTAGAGGTTGTCGAACGGGTATGCATGCCCCGAGGAGTGTAGGATGGCAATGATTGAGAGTTACCGCCCTTCCCAGGAGCCGTGATAGTCACAGAAGAGCATGACATGAAGAACTCCTGCTCACGGTTGATCCAGGTCCAACCAAAGACATGGTCACCGGCAGGCATATCACTTGGGACCTTGAATTCAAAGGTTTGTTCTTCAGGGCGGTTGTTCGAGCCCTTGCGGTGAGGGCAGTTCCCCTCGTAACTGCTTATCACTTTCCAAGATTTACCTTGGTCAGTGCTGAACCCAGCTTGACATGATCCTCCCCAGTGTGTTCCTGTGCCAATGAGGCTAAAATTCTGGGACGAGCCGGCTTCCCAAGTGGCAACGGGGGCACCCTGATTCGTGCCGAGGAGATCGAGATATCCGCGACAGGGATAGACCGTCTTTCTGCCGCAACAGTTGTAAGGGTTGTCAAGATATGGGTCAACAGAATCGGTACGATGAGGATTGTTTTCCGCACCGAAAGTAGGAGGATAGTAGAGCATCATATGGGCCTTGGTAGAGGCCGCGAGGAGGCCGACGAGGGCAGCAGTTTTCATAATGGATCTCATATTATTTTCAAAAGGAATATTGTTTTCCGGAAGGAGAGTAAAAGTATAGTAGAGTAAATGAGCGTTTATGCCCCAGAGCTACCAGGCTGGAAAGAAGTGCAAAAAAGGGGGAGGAAAGAATGGAAGCTCGAAAAACGCAGAGTCAGTCTGCAGAGTAATCGAGTAAGGAAGAAAATGAGAAGGAAAGAAAGTATGATTGCTGTGTGAATAATATGGGATTGGAACACGGGGGCAGGAAGCAGAGGGGAATATATAATTGAGTTATGCAGTGTCAAATGTGTGAGACCGTGCAAAACGGGAGGGCACCCAGCTCATGCTTTTCTCCACCAGAGCGAGGGAACGGGGATAATATATCTCGAGCAAATGGTCATTAATGGACAAACAATACCCTCCCCTAATTAATATACCGTTCCGTCGCCACATCACTTACCAACCGTAATGCGGGCTTTTTATCGCAACATCATTTTAAGAGGTCGTAATTGTTGGAATAACTCGCTTAGGAAGATCGCATCACATTGTGGAGAGTATAACATTTTATGTAGATATCAGCAGCTGACTGGCCGGATCCATGGTTCCAGGCCGTCTTATCGCCAGGGGAATGACTTCAAAGGAGAGGACGAGAGGATGAGGACGGGTCACAGGAGACCTTCTACCCATGGGTTGCCAGCTGAAGGTGAAACGCAGAGTGGCTGGTGGACGCATAAAAAGGTTGGCCAGTGGAGGTTGAGAACCAGGGTTGGGCGCTTAGTGAGCGCCGTTGACGCCAGCTGAATGGCCAGAGGATTCAGGAACCAGCCTCTCGACTTTGGTACGCCCAAACTTCGATATCCCCACCATATCCTCTTTATCTCCCTGATGATGGGTTTGCGATTGTTCATGGTAGAATTTTGAAGATGAAGTTCAAAAGATGGAAGTCAAGAATATCCCTTTTTGGGCGTGTCATGTGACTCTTACGGTGATGTATATGTGATAGTGCAGATATAAAGGGGGTATATATTTTCTCTCTTTATATATACAGAGAACGCCTAGTTCTTCAAAAGGGATAACTTCTATCGAGAAAAGTCAGGCTTGTACTCCTTGGCTCCTCCTGTCTTCATTAGCTCCCTTAGTGCCATGGTAGCATACTGGCTGGCCCCTAACTGGAACTTGAGGATAACAGCTAGCCTCTCCGGTGAATCTAACGGCTGTGACGCCTCTGATGTAGGCGCATAGTTATCATCCTTATGTTCCCCTGTCTTACTCTCCTTGAGCCTTTCAAGGTCTGTCTTCACAAACTGCTCGTCCTCAACACGGTACGGTCTCACCTCGAAAGAGTAATCAGCCCCAGGCCGGCTGAGTATCTTACGGTAGCTACCGCTGAGGCTGATGTCCCTCCAGGAGCGCCGCATGTCAAATGGATCCAGGTTTCCGCCCTTATCACTTCCCATGAACTCTTTGTAGAAGTTGGTCATTTCGTTGGCGGGATAGAGGATGTCAAACCCGGGAAGGGGTAGAACGATGTCAAAGATGGAATACTTCCCACTGGCTGCCTCTTCTGCGGACAGGGCTCTAGCTCGCTCAAACATATCATCAACAGCAGCGCTGTCATCTGCGTCAGGTAAGACAATCTCCTCGCCGTCTGCATCGACTTCGGCCTGTGCCGCAGCTTTGGTTTCGTCTTTGAAATCATTTACCAACACCAAATCACCTTCAACGACCTTGTCCCCGTATAGTCGCCATCTTTCACCAGCAGCAAAGTTCCATACCAGGGACTGGTAGGCGTGAACATACATCAGCCGCAGGTTGCGGGGAATAGACTGGAGAGCACCGAAATAATCATTCTTTCGTTGGCAGAGGAGCCTTATGATATTGCTTTCTGCCGTGAACTTTCTAGGCAAAATATCTAATGCATCGCGGCCATTTCCAGTTGTTTGGAAGATGTGAATTGCCTTGGCTCGCAGGATATCATCGGTGCTTATCAATGGCCTTTGGGTCCGTTCCTCAGATGAAACGTCTTGTGCTGCTGCGGCTAATGCAGCCTCGCTGTAATGAAGGATCGATTCACAGGCTTCTTTGAATTGTCCCCGGAGCATCCTGAGACCTGTAGTATCCGTTCTTGTGGCGAAGGTGCCAAAGCGCTGGAGCCCATAGTAGTTGAAGTAGCCTCGTTCTCTGAGGCTACGGAGCGACTTTCTGACAAGCTCCGTGACATTTGCGAGAGTTTCTGGGCTTGAAGGGCCCCCTTCTCCAACAACCCCCTCAGCGAACTGGCAATCTCTTAATGTGACTACGAACTCGTTCCCGTTCAGTTGTCCCAGTTCCAGGCCCTGCTTCTGATATGCATAGTCCCCAATAGCCGCCATTCGAAGGGATCCATTGAGATTCGCCATTCGATCGGGATAGATACGGAAGACACTAACTCGTTGAGCCGTTGCCCCACGACGATCTTTCGTCCCTGCGAACTGAAAGGCTTTTGGCGCTACTTTCAACTGACGAGAGAGGAACGAAATAACTTCCATCGTATCCTTGTTCTCTTTGTATAAGGTGAAGTGTAAGTAGTCTCCGCCGAGTTCGCTCCATCCCAGTTTACCACGGGGCAATCGAGCAGCATCAACGCGGCCTTGATCTCGGCCAGCTTGTCTGTTGCGTTTCCCTTTGCCTCCTCGTTGCTGCACTGACGCAGCGGACACCACGATTGCCCCGTCATTGTCGGTGGAAGAGTCTAGGGTCGAGTTGAATATGCGGCGAATAGCCTGGTGAAGACTGGTCCTCTGGTCTTTGTCTGTGATCACCCCTGACTTAACCTTGCCAAGTTCGCCCGGACGCGAAGAAATTTTGTCAAGCGAGCGCGAGTACAGGTTGAGGAGTTTTGGGGTGGTCTCGGGTCCGAAGAATTCATCCAACAACTCACGGTCTTTTGGTGCCAGCTACATAGTGTCAGTAGATGTGGGTTCAAGATACCTCTCTGGATAGGTTTGTTCATTACCTCTGCTACCACTGCGGCACCTGTTTGCCCGGGCTTGCCATCATCAGCCCCATGGCTTTCGTCCTTGTAATTCTCGACTGTCTGGTTCAAGGCCGGAGTAGTTGCTGGCGCAGGTTCAACGCTGGTGGTGGCCGCTCTAATGGCATTCTGAAGGGCAGCAGGTAGCCCGGTATCCGTCAAATGTAAAACTTCTCCGGACGGTAAAATCTCATTGACCAAAAAATCTGTATATCTAGACCAAACTCGTGTTAACCACCCCCCTCCGGCATGACCCTCAATCGACGACGCTACCTTTTCTTCACCACCCCAGAAAATCCGGGCACGTCCGGGCTGACAAAGTGCGTAATGCCAACTTCGGCTTCTTTTATAGCTTGCGCGTCTGGAGCTGGGGGTTCTGAGTCGGCAGCCGCATCGACCAGGTGCTCTCGACTCGGTGCCGTGAGAGACTCGGAGGCAAGCTGACCATTGGACACCTTCACACGCTTTCGCCGTGACTCGTCTTCTCCTGCCATCGCAACGAGGAAGATGTTCGTGGGTTCAAGCGTCGTTCTTGGTTTCTTCCGTCGACGTGGTGGAAATTTTTCCTTGAGAAAAAAATAAAAATATTCTAACTTCATGGGACGGAAAGCTTAACTCATATTTATTCTAGTTTTAACGACGTGGACTTGGAAGAGGAACGGATGGTCGAGTTATCCATGATACGAGAGTAACAGCAGTGTCTATTCACTGCCACTACTGGCCTTTATCTTCTTCTCCTCTCTCAGCTCGACGGCTGGACAAGACTCTACCAAAACATGCTAGACATCATGGATATCAACTTCCCCCCTGTCGACCGGCTGACTCGGAAAGATATATGATTCCCTCTCTCACGCACATATTTCGCTCCTTGAGCTCTGCCAGATAGTTTTATATTCCCGCCAGCTTACGCTTTATTTCATTCGATAATAAATAACTAGCCTCTGCCGCCAATCAGCGCAGGCTTTGCCTTTTTTGCCGAAGATCGGTTTTGACGCGTACATTATCACCAGAACTCCCGTGTGTTGCATATCCTGGGTAAACACTTTTATTGCCCTTGTTCTAAAAACTAATCCGTAGTCTCAGGCCTCGTACAGCTGTTCAACCATGGACTCATAAGACCGTGACACCCAAGAGAAGGAGGAGCTTAAAACTGCTCGTCAGAGATACCGCGCTACTAGACAACAGTCTAGCGGAGATGCTTATGATCAGCCCGAGTTCTAGGACACCACCAAGAGGATCCTCGATGCTAAAGATGGCATCGCAGATATCCACTGGCAATGGCAGAGAAGGACTTTCTTTGCTAAAGACTGAATCTTTAAGGAAGCCGAGAGAGAGAAGAGAAGAAATCAGACAGTCCACAAGTTATTTGAGTTCTACATCTGGGCCACCTCCGTAATGTGGCCAAGGGAAAGGGACATTGTTTAAACTAAGGATCATATCAGTTAATATATATTATTCCCCCAATCGAACAACTTCAAAAGCATAAAAGATTCAATGTAACTACGAAATGAAGGTTCATGACGGTCATAAGTAGGGTCACATTCCCATATTCAGCTACGCCTCGATATCCTTCCAATTGAAGTCATATATGATTCCATCTTCTTCTATATCTGTGACACATTCAGGGCCCTGAGGCACCGTCAGCTGGACTGGCTTCTTCCTTCTGACAGTCGAATCGCTCACGAGGATGTTCCATTCACTTCGGGTAATTGGTGTTACATCAGACGCACTATGGGGTGTCCTGGCTCTGAGGGGGGAGAGTGCTTTCGCAAAGCTAACTCTCCTTGTGGCAGATGACGAAGCTGCTATCTCCTTCTTCTTGACCTTCTGTTTCTCCAGTTTCTCTTGCTTGGAGTCTGCTACCACTTCTGGTTTGGTTTCTGGCTTTTGTCCAGGATTTTGCTTGCACTCAGGCTCAGACACAGGCTCGGGAGGCGGAGGTTTTGGCAAGACGATGGCCACCTGCTTATAACGGGCGACATACTCATTTGCTATGTCAACGATAAGCTGGTCCTCAAAGTGGAGATGGTTATAAGCGTGATAAAAGAATGACTTGGTGAATGGGCGGCCACCAGTACTTTGCACAGCCCTCCGAAGGAGACAGAGGCAAGCGTCGGTATAGATGTGACTGGGGATACTGTCGATCGTGGTGTTTGGGGTAACCCAAGGAGTGGAGAGGGCGTTAAGGTATTGCTTAAGAGTGTACGTGCGATCGATGTTCAGAATGGTGAGTCCCTCAAGGCTTATCAATACATCGTTCTGTTTCAGTGATCGATCGATGAGATATTCCGGATTGAACACCGCATCCATACCAATGCTTGATGACGAGAGGGCCATCCATTTCGGTTGAAGATTATATTTCCTTGCCGCCCGCCGAATGTACTTGTTGAAGAGATGGCGCGCATTATCCGAGAGGGTATTGACGGGAAACACGGTGAGGTTGCACCCTTGGCCAATCGGCAGCGGTTTAGCACGCGACAGGATGAGAGTCAAGTGCAACGTGTTAGACTGCAGCTTATTCGAGACATATTCTAGTCCAGAGTAGACCTGCGGTGCAATGACGTTTGAATCAAAAGCAGATTCCTGGGAGAGGGGAGGAGATATCATATCTCGGGTCAGGGGATCGGTAGAGGGGGGACGGACCTCCCCCCTGTTTCGAGCTTGTTCGTGGAGAATCATATGCTCCCACCCTCCTTCGCTGCTTGAAGTTTGGATAGGCAGCAGCGAGGTGAAGGAAAAGAAGAAGAGAACGATGAAACCCCTCGACTGTTTTATATTGTTATCAGGCATACGTTTCTGTGCCTGCATCTCTCCGTCTGCAGAACCGCTCCCCCTCAATCACAAATATCACAGCCAATAAGAGCCCGCCATGGCAGCTTCTATAAATAAACCCCATGTGATCCCTGGCCCCCGCCGCAGCATAACCGCTGCATTGGAAAACGCTTTACTCAATCAAGGAATTAGTGGGTCCATTATATCGCGACTATTCGCTGGTCAGTGAAAGCTTAAAGCCCCGGTCAAAAACCTGGCGCTTAAGTTGAATCCTTCAAGAGGAAAAGGTTGGAGACGAGGAGGGGTTCACTTCGAAAGGACGGGTGTTGTGCCTAGAGATGCAGCCGGCAGTCAAGAGTCTTCTTGTATTTCTTGAGTTTGGGCCTACAACCAACTCTTTAGTTATACTCTATTATTAGAAAACAAACCCATCACAACCCTCGCAGCTGGTCTGACCATTCATATAAAGACATCGCATCGATGTTGGTGTTGTTTCTAGCCTAGCCATTCCAGTTACCTGGTTACTGTCTGAATATGAAACTCCCCAGGATATCCTATCTTTAACTATGTTTAAGGTTCATATCCCACCTCCTGGCACGTTTCAGAAAGGCGACGACATATATGTATACATAGATATTCTTATGCCAACGACCTTCTATGAGCCAACAATAGTTTGGACAAAGCTTACCGCTTCAACTGTGAATAATATAGCCTTGGTCTTGTTACTATACATACCGTCTCAAGAGTATTGACTCGATAATGCAATAAGCCTGTTAGGGATCATCCTTCGGTGTGTGTGCTATGTCCTATTATACTCTATGTAGTATTACCATCGTCCATGAATCCAATGATTATCCCACCACATGCGGTTAAGATTGTAATATATAGTAGAAGATCTGCAAAGAAATGCTGATGTGCCCTTACATAGTACTTGGTTACTCCCGCTACAACCGGAAGTAAAGGTTGTTCCGAATATAAGTTTAACTTATTCCCGAGGTCCGCGAACCATAACTTGACTCCATAATTACGGCCGAAAAGAACATTATCGCGGGCAAAATATCCCATATTCTTGATATTTTGTACATGCACGAATCTGCATGTACCAAAATGAACTCTTCCTCATATTACTCTGGATGAGTGACCATTAGCCTGATGGGCACGAGGTACTCCCTACTCGGCCAGAAACGTCAGGTTCTGCCAAGCTGAAAAAGACATCCAACCAATGAGTCCTAGAATTCTGGCGTACAATGTCACCATATTACCGCCATATACGGAGTTATGTCTGCTTATCTACATGCAATATACGACGACAGCCGGTAGAGGACATGAGGTCAAAGCTTAGAGTCCACTATTACACCGAGCAGTGATGCACTTTTCTATGAGCCGGATGGATATGTCTTCTACAGCATAAGTGGTATATCGGGCTTGGTTTCCTTTACGCCCGTTTAAATCCATCAACCGGTTGATCTTGAAACCGATTGCTACTTGACCAAGTTATGTATACGGGTTAACCTAAAATATAAATTGACATATAAAGACAAAGACCTTCTGATCTATATATATTTACCACGATGCTCTAATATTTTGCTTCCTTCTTCCTACGACATAAGGCGCCCTATTTAATGGTGACCATGGGAACAATGACCGAAACATTTAAGGGGTCTCCAGCTCTAGATAATAACTGGCCAAATCACCAAGGGGTAAGCACACCTGACTCCAACGTCACCATGCTCTGCTAATGAAGGCTTTAGTTTGATACTTCATACGAAGAAAGAACCCCTATAGAGCTAAAGGTATCTGGGGAAATTCCACCATGGGCTTCTGGCACCCTATACCGCACGGGAATCGGCCAGCGAGAGATTGAAACAGTGAAAGGGGTGTTCCAAGTACGCCACTGGTTCGACGGCCTAGCGGTTGTGCATAGATTCCAGATTCTGCCTCCTGACGAAGAGCACCCCGAAGTTCGAGTCATCTACAACTCACGTAGTACCTGCGATGGTCTTATCGAGAAGATCAAAAAGACTGGTGAGCGGGATACAATGACTTTTGCAAAGAAATATGACCCTTGCCAGAGCTATTTCAAGAAGGTCATGTCCGTCTTTCAACCGGATCGAAATCGTCTACCAAACGAGTATTCCATGTCAATCACCATGTCCGTCGACTTTCCTGGGTTGGAGACAGGTAGAAACAAAGGAAAAACTAGTAATAGACATGCTTCGGGTATACAGGGACTTGTTAACAAGACAGACTCGGCCTTCTTCCAGATGCTAGACCCAGAAACTCTTGAGCCATTAGGGGTCGCAAATCAACAGATCCTTCACCCCGATCTCAAAGGCCCTATGTCTGGAGCTCACGCGAAATCTGACCCGCTGACTGGAGATGTATACAACTTCAATCTTGAGTTTGGAGTTACTCCGACATATCGTGTCTTCAGCGTTTCTCGATCAACAGGCAAGACATCTATCCTAGCGACCATAACGAATGCCAATACTGCATATATTCACTCAATCTTCCTGACTGAGAACTATGTGATCCTCTGTGTATGGAATTCATTCTTCGTTGCAAACGGCCTAAAGATTCTATGGACCAGAAATATTCTCGATGCCATTGGAGAATACGACCCGTCTCGCCCTGCAAAATGGTATGTCATCGACAGGAGGACACCCGGAGATGGTGGCCGAGGGTTGGTAGCTACCTACGAGAGTGGCCCATTCTTCTGCTTCCATAGCGTCAATGCATACGAAACACCTTCTCAGACTGGGCGCGGAACCGACATTGTAGCCGACTTGGTCGCATATGATAACCTCAACTGCTTGAAATGTTTCTATCTCGATAACTTAAGGTCCAATTCGCCAAATGCAGGAAAAATCAAGACAGAAAATGATTATAAGGCCGTTCTCCTGAGGTACCGGCTACCGACTATACCCCTTGAATCGCATCAGGCCTCTGAACCATCGCCTAGAAAGGCTATTCTCGAGTTCAAATCCGAGCCGATCCAGGCGCCTGAGTTGCCGACCATAAACCCCAGGTGTATCTCTCGACCGCACAGGTACATATACGGGGTGAATTCTACCGGGAAATCCACCTTCTTTGACGGCTTAGTGAAGATGGATATCAAGACACATGAAACCAAGTACTGGTCACACCACGGACAAAATGCAGGAGAACCCATCTTCGTTCCGCGTAGCAAGGCCAACCCAACAGATGCCTCTAATGATGGCGATGATGAGGATGAGGACGACGGCGTTCTCTTATCTGTTGTTCTTGACGGGCTCTCGGGAAAGTCATATTTGCTTGTGTTAGATGCAAAGACAATGACTGAAACTGGGAGAGCAGAGGTCAACGGGGCTATTGGGTTTGGGTTCCATGGAATACATGTGCGTTCAAACGAGAAGGGAATTGATCTTTAGCTTGTCTTCCCCTTTACCCTCATTTAATTATACCCAGAAACAGCTCTTTATTATTGTAATCAAACTCGAAATGCTAAATTGCTACAATGCTCGGCCTTACTTCTTCCATGAGTCCCTGACAATGGTGACCTCATCCCATATATTCTCCCTGGCTCTCTCTCTCGTCAAACCGCGCCTGATCATGTCATCATACTCGGTATGGACGTGCCTGATATGCGCTTCAACAGCCAGCCGTACCTTGTCCTTCTCATTCGCAATTTTCCCACTTCTACCAACCCGTCTGGATCCCTTTAAAAAGGCATGATTGAGTACTGTATTGAGATCTGGCTTGGGCATGTTCGGGAACTCTTTGAGGAGCAGTTCCCTGGCCTTTTGTCGGTCACGAGCATCCTTTTGAGCCACTGCTTTTTTGCGTGCATCAGATGTGTCCTGCGACTCTAATTCGACGGCAGCTTGTACATCAATCGGAACGCAAATGCCGGTCGGCTTGTAAGTTGTGGAACTCTAGAAGGTTAGCATATAGCTATGTAGCCATGTAACAGTCAAACGGTCCACAGTAGCTCGCTTACATAGACGGTATATACAGGCGATCCCAGGTCGTGTGTCTGGGAACGGCATTTCCTAGTGATGTAGGTATTCCCCTTAGGTACAAAGGCATATCCCGAGGGTCGACGCTGGTTGTCAAGAAGTATCTGGTAACAAGTCATGAGCTTTCCTTCAACTCCAATAGTAATGGCATCTGTTTTCATAAGCCTGTCAAGAACTTACATCTTCGGATACGGATCCGTGTACCGTCTTGGAATAAGAAATATCCCTGAGCTTGTCTTGTAGAGCCTTTGGCATCGGTTTCAGAGACTGGCTGGCCTTTGGAATAGGCCGTTTGGTCTTTGGACGAGCTTGACGCCGTTGCTGTTTGCCCATCCTGTCGACGATTAACAGGCTGTGAGTAAGAGATTGCACAGCTCCAGGGACTCTTATGGAGTGATACTGGCTAAAATCATCTCTGAGGCTGGAAGATGGAAAATTCCTCTGTTGACCTGCATGTTGATGTTTTATTCACCCAGCTATTCACCCAGCAACCAAGTCGAGGACAATGAATTATGAATAACTAAATAAATAGATCAACGGCGGGCTAGCCCACACAAAATAAATATATGACATTATCCATCTTATAAGATCTTCAAGTCTGTTGATGATATTGTTAGTTATCTTTTGATCATTATTCTAACATATAAGTGCTCCAGCTAATCTACATCTACACCAACATCTAATACGATGTCCTTTATTCGCCTAAACCTCCATGCATAGAGACAACGGACCAATGGAGATGAACCACTGGTTATGTGTATAATTTTCAGCTACTCCGCGAGTTGCAAGGGCAGGGTTTCATCCTTGAGCTGCTCCGTCTCCATCCCTGTATAAGAGTCACTTCTCGGGTCATCGGTTAGATCGAATCCCGGCAGCAGGGGAGGCGGATATGTCCTTGCGGAAATACGGATAATATCGACCTCAATAGGAGGAATAATTATTTGATTGCTGTTGCACAAGCAGCAGGACAGGAAGATCTTTATTAAACATGTGCAGAACTAGCTAACCGCAGGAAATGTGGAAGGATCTCAGCTAATGTTTGCTTCGCCAATCGACATCTGCATGTTGATAATGCATATACGAAAGGAGCAGCCTTCGTATAAGGCCCTTGGGCAGCACGGATGAGCGCGTTTAGGGCTGTTATGCCCGTAAGCCTATTGCTATAGTTCATGTGCAAAAGGGGTAATAGTCCCTTTCAGGGGTTCTCGTCGAAGTCGTCGAAGGGAAAGTGATATTGAACCGCAATGGTATCGTTACGTGTTTCAGCAGCTTCAAGCATTTTGGTCTTCATCTCACGGGCCTTTGCTTTCGCAGCTTTATATTCATCATTGGTAACCCAGCCCAATATGTCCACACCAAGAACATCTCGCATTTATTCCATTGCAATATCAGCTTCCCTCTGTTGCGCGTCCAGTCTGAATGTGTCGTGAATCACTTTATCTGAATACTCGAAAGGAGGAACAGTGCATGTCCCTCTGTCTAGAGAGTCTTCTGTAATCAAAATCGGCCAGCTCTGTATGGCGCGAATCATGTCAGCTCGTAGAGTAGTCGAGTCTCCTTCCCAGGGAGTGCCCGCACTCTTAAAGAGGCGTTGATGCATAATGACAGACTGGTTGAATATTGCATCATAATGTTCTTCATTCAACCGCTTGGTAAGGGCGGCATAAAGAAAATGAACCACCCGTCTTCGAATGGTCTCTCGCACTGAAATTTGTTCAGACAAGGCAAGAGAGTCATAGTTTGGTGGAAGATTGATCTGAGGCTCAAGGAGCTTTTCTGAATCGGGGTCACCGTAGTTCTGGAAATGCTTCGGCATCCCAGTAGCAAGCCCAAGAGGAAGAACTTCAGAGTGCTGCCAGTCAACTAGTCCAACAATCTCATTCGTCTCTGACACGAGAATATTGCTAGGTTGGAAATCGGGGTGGCGGATGACCGGTCGGTTCAGCGAGCTTCCTGCTTTGAAACCAAGATATCGTGCCAGAGCCAGGTAATCAGACAAATCCTTGATGTGGCCTTCTGGGGAAACCTGATGGAAATTATGGGTCTCCCGGTAAAGTCGTTCATAGGGAAGACGAGGTTTCGCATAAGTTTTGGTCCACTTCAACTCCCGCTCCCCGACTGCGCAAAGACATCGTTTGAAGATGGCCCTGTTGAACAGATTAGTGCTTAAGCTAATCTCAGCTCATCCCAGTTGTCCACTTACAGGGTCCTCTATCAATTTTGAGCCGTGCTCTCTCGTTGTGCCACCAAGTGTAATGTGCCATAGGGCCTATACAGAACTGGCGCTCGCTATGATCTGGCAGCGGGATCCCTTCTCCGGAGAGAATATCTCTTTGATAGTATATGCTACCAGAAGCAGGGAACTTCAATGACATCAACCGCGTCTCCCACTCAACGACCTGTTTCATGATCTTGTACTGATCCTTTGGCGTCATGGTATACCATACATCGCCCAGTGGGATACCGCCCAGTTTCTCCATGATGATGTACTCGACACCGACAGGATTCGCCTGTGTTGAGCACCAAGCATACACCTTAGGCGTGGTAATACCATGCAACCGGAGATAGTCCAGAGTGGCCACCTCACTGGCAACTCCATAGTGTTGAGGTCCTGTGGAAGGATATGGAATTCTGGCGATGACATGCTTCCCATCACTGAAAGTGACTTGGAATAATCGATTGAATCCGCCTTCTGATAGCTTAACAAATGAAACAATGTCAGAAGTACAACGACTGGATGCCGCAGCCACAACTTTCTGGAGAGCAAGTATATCGAACTCGAGGTAACGCTCCGTCAGTCGTAGACGTTCATTATAGCTGCCGCCTTGTCAGCCTTGATATATCTTTCTCGATGGACACAAGCAAAAACGTACATCCATCTTCCGGACGTATACTTGAAGAGCTCACCCGACTTTTGGGCTCTTATGCTCCCGAACTGGCGGAAGTGCGAGCATTGAGTCAGGGGAGAACGGAGGACACGGCGAAACTGCATGTTCTAGCTATCTCCACAACTCCGTACAGGTTTTCCCTGGAGATGTATATAGCAAACTACTTGAAAAGGCTGAAGGGCATGCGATTCTCCACCTTAGTTGACTAGGTCAGCGTCTGCTTAGCTTATTGGCGTCCCAGGATTGTTATTTAAGAAGGCGAAGAGATACCATACCGTGCTTCGACCAGCCGTTCGATCTCAAGATGTTCTTTAGAGACCTGACGATGTAAGCTACGAACGTCTATTGATACTACTTACGTAGATGGAAACAAGGTCAGGGGCAAGCGCCCGCCGCTGGAATAAAGGAGAGCCATAGAAAGGAGGTAGTAAGTCTCAGTCCTTCGCTTCTAAAGATTGCCCACTGTCGTCTGTTGGATGGTTCCCATCATTACTTCATGCTTTCTGGCTACCCCAGGCACAATCAGATCAGACGGCTCTGTGTTGCAGACTGTCGGATCTCTGTTCTCTTCAGCTAGAGGTTGTACTCTCTCTCTCGGCTATCTAGAAATCTTGGTCTTCCGAAAGAGTCCTTCTCTGGATGTCTCTGATGTCGTGTGGCTCAAGCATCGCGTAACTGGTGAGAAGGCATAAAACACGAGAGACATGTACATACATAGTAGTATGTACTGGGACGAGTGTGGAGAAGAGGAGAGAAAGCTATTTATCTCCTTGGAACTTCCAAGTTACTGGCGCAAACAACCCAATCACCAGTCAAGGATCGGATAAGTCCATATATTGCTATGTATGCATATTTGAATCCCCTGCTGTTATTAGTGGAGGTCCGAGATCAGGAAAAATTTATTAACTTATTTTATGGAGCTGCTTAAGGGGGAGAAAAGATGGGTGATTTTCTCGGCTGCAGGCACCAGCGCGGCCTGCAGCTGTACGATGTGCATACGGAGTCACTACTTTTACTCTGTCCCCCAAGGTGTGAGATGTTAGCTAGTCAGTTATATGCAAGCATTGTTCCAAGGGGGGTTTCTTTTCCTGGTTCACGTCGTCCCAGTCCATGGTTTTATACGCCGATACTTGACTGATCGATGCTGATGTCTGTTAGATGAGTGGTGTATATACACATACGAGCAGATACAGTATATACTCCTTGGGCCGTCTGATGGAGGATTCCACGGGTACAAATACCTCATGAAGGTACTTAAAACTCCAGAGTCCTTACTGCTCGCACCTCTATCCGCTAGTTATCCGTTGGTACCGTCTCAGTATCCAACATTATGGAGTCAAAGAAGCTTTCCGGCCTGCCTGGTTGAACCCAGCTGGATACATAACCACATACATACTCCCAGACTTTACACACACATACAAATACACGGGAAAAGGACTAGCAGGTGTGACAAAGGCGCCTCAGAAGTGGGCATCATGCCATGGATATACATATTTACTGTATATATCAAGGGGGGATCCAGTTCGAACACTCAAGCCGGCCAGCAAGAAGAAGAAAAGATTAAGATTAAAGGGATAAACGGAGTAAACAAGGAAGACCAAGAGTCGGATATAAACCGTGAATTAATCTACTTTTTTTTATCCTACAAAAAAAATGTTACTGAAGTATATGGCAGTTGGCAGCTTATACGAAGGGAATCAGTTATAAATAAAAATAACAATAGTGACGTTTCTGGCTTTTATACATCTCTCTTTGACCGTTTCAGCTCTGGCTCTGCTTTTCAAACACTACTGGATAAATCAACGACTAATAATTATTGTCATCTTTCTTGCTGCTGTGGTGCCTGGCTGCTAGTTGATCACCCCTGGCTCTGTTGGTTGCCTGGTGGGCAAAGCCGTCTCTCTCGCTTTTTTTTTCTCTCGATCTCATAATTTTCCTCCCTCCGGTTTCTCTCCCCCCTCCCCCTTCAGCAACAGTTATAAGAAGTTACGTATCTGGCATCCTGTTAAGGGGAGGACAACGGCTATAGAACGAGGTAACATTCATATCCCGGGAAGAAAGATGGGAGTGCCTATAAATAATCCCAAAATCATTCACTCTAGGGCTCCCGGTTCTCAACCTCCTGATCGCTGGCCAACCTTCCGCTACTGCGAAGACGACCCTTTGAACCGTCTCCTGTTGCTATACCAGGGCATCCGCCGGTCGTCTTGCCTCATGCTGGTCCGGGGGTAATCTGCTGCTATGAATTGGGACTATCCTATCCACAGGTATGCCCGTCCTGTTGGAAGGTGACGGCGGCCCCTCGGCTGGGAACAAAAAGGAAGATATAAAAACAAGATATAGAGAATGATATGAGAAAGACCAAGGACTGTATAGCAGACATATGCTGACCTGAGTTTGGTTTCTGCAGCTTTACGGATCCTAATGTCGAACCTCAAACGCCCACGAGAACACCCACTACGAGCTCGTTCGAGACCCCAAAGCTTGAGTCCAGCTTCTATGACCCTCGAGTTACATGGGACACCGCAGACCCTTATGGCTCCAGCCCGGAGCTGATCAAATTCGCTCCTCGATTTGACCTCGCTTCTCCGTCTCCCCAGAGAGGTAAGTTGGGAAAAAAATAAAAAATAAAAAAAACAGGAAGTAGAAGGTGAATGACTCGTGCTAATGATGTAAATACAGGCCAATTACCAGATATTGATAGAGTTGATAATGGGGTGACTGTCGGAAGTGTGAGGAAGACAAGGCCGTTGAGCATCATATCTAGCTCTGGGCCTGATATTTCGGACGGAACCGATGCTACGAGCCGTTCTGCTGCTTCGATGCAGACCCCGCCGCCTACCAGCACCTCGCGGAGGAGAAATCAGGATGCCATGAATCTAATGACCGATGATGCCGCTACGCCCGTGCAAGAGTCCAATCCAAACCGCCTGGAGACTCCCAGCCGCTTCGTCGGGCTGTCTCCCAATTTCTACGGCTTCCAGGGCACTCCTGATTTTTTCCGTATGGCTGGAGCTTCTTCTACGGAGCCATCCTTCATCCCTCGATACCAGATGCCCTGGGATCAGGAGAATGTGCCTCCGCCGTCGACGATGGCAGACCCGGCAATGTCTAGCAATCCTTTTGACATGTCTACGCACCCTCCGCTACAGCAGCCTGTCGACGCATTCGACGCTGACCCGGCCAGTGAGGTCGGGCTGGAGACCCCAAAACTGCCGGTAACCCAGTCTGATGGGAGGAAACGGGTGGGTTTGGGAGGTCCTCAGGACCATCGCTATCTTGACTCGCAGCCAGGTGTCGGCATCAACGCCTCGTTCTCTACCTCGCCCCGTGTGCCTTTACTACAGGATGACGACCCTTCCATGTTCCTCAGCTCTCCAGCTCGACGGTTTGGCTTTTCTGACCCGTCATACTCTCCCAACGCACCCCGGATAGAGAACCGTCAACCATACCATTATCAGATGGAAGAGTCCGAGAGGGATAGACGCGAACGGGGCTTATGCAAGGTACCACGGACAAGAAGTGTTGGCCACTCAAGCATGACTGGCAATGTGGGTACTGCTACCAACTTCGATACCTCCTATGCTGCCTCGCTTCCTCGATCAAGCTCTGGGAGACCGCCAGCGAGGCGAATCACGACTCACTCCGGAGCTGTAACTCGACAGAGTTCCCTTTCCTCCGGGGCTGCATGTGTTATTCCGGGAAGCGGAGTGAGAAAAACGCCTTCCAAAGGCCGCACCTCGCCGTTCAAATCACAGATGCATTCCTTTCGCCGGTCTACCTCCCTGGCTGCGCCCATGGAAGCTCTCGTGCTCAAGGTGGGCAAGGATGGAATTGCAACTACCGAGATGAAGCTGGCGGTACAGTCACAGCCTCAATTGCCTGATGTTTCCCCTGATATTAGTATCGAGGAACTCTCTACCGAGAGTGACAGTGACCTGTCCGATACTTCAGAACGTCGAATCGCCAGGAGTCAGAATCCCTCGTTTCATTTCCCTGATATTACGCCTCGTAGACCCCGCATTGCACGTACCCCCTCTTCTTCCCGTCCGCACTCCAAGTGCTCGTCTCGCTCATCGACGGTGGGCTCCTCGCATTCGGGGTATAACCCAGGCTGGACGGGTACCTCGCGGGGCAGGGGCAGGCAGCTGGACACATGGGATGAACGCCGTCGACACTCCGTTAACCAATCAAGCAACCATTCCCGAAGCTACTCGATCACCGACTCGGAAGCTACGCAGGAAGATGACGAGGATGAAGCGGACGGTGCAGGGCATGCCCAACATGCCCTTAAGCAGGTACTCCAGGCACGTAAACGCCAGACGGCATCTGGCTATGGGTCGGCATCTAGAGCTTGTCACTCTTTGACGATGGCAACGATACGGTCTTCACCCCCGTTGGTGGGATACCCCGAGTCGTATTCAGGAGACCTCAGCTCACCCACGAAGGCGACTGACCAAGCATCCGCCCCTACGCCGACTGTGGAACGCCAGAATAACCCCAGCACTGGAACCAGATGCGTGTGCAATTCAAGAAATAATGGAGGACATCTCATGATCCAATGGTGAGACGGACCCTTTTCTCCCGTTCATCTCTCGATATATCTCTCTCATCGAACTAACTGTATTGGCCAGTGAATCGTGTACGCACTGGCTCCACACAAAATGTGTAGGGCTTGACCGTCAAAGCCTGCCGCCAGTATACATTTGTGTCTACTGTGTGCAGACTCCCGTACGCCGGCAGCGTCCTCGCGACCCTCGCTCTCGGGGAGGACATGTCTCCTCCCCTCTCACCCATAAATCCTACGGCTTCCCGTAGACACCCTGCTTAATTACTCCCGGCTTCGATATTCCGACTCGAAACTATCGCCCGACTGCGTGACAGTCTTTTTCGTCTCCTCTTTTCTTTTGTGATGCTCTACCACCTTATTATACCATGCTTAGACTTTTTTTTTACTGATCGTGTGTTACAATACCCAGCTTTTGCATGTGCCAATGCTGTACCCTTCTTCTGTTCATATTTTGCTCTATCCTCGGGTGCTCCTTTGCCTCCTTCATCGCCTTCTTTAGCCCTTCCATCTATCCTTTTTGGCTTTCTCGTTTTCTTCTCCGCCTCGGACGTAAGCTTAAACTCCGCAACATGTGACATAAAACAGCCGCCGTTGATTTTAACCGCGTCTAACTAAGCGCTATCGGATTTAACTTCTTCCGAAAACTGCCGGCTTCGGCTCCGAATTCGCCGCCTTTAGTCTTTTTTGCCTACTCACGTGGCCTTGCTTAGCGCGACAAAAAGTAAAAAACGAGCCAGGGTTTCTTCGTAGGCGAGAAAGAAGAAGAAGAAGAGAGAGACAGACAGACAATAAGACAAGACTCTTTTCTTCTTCTGTCTTTCCTGTCCTCAACAGTTCTTAAGAGGCTTCAGAGCATCACCATCGATTGACCGGAATACCCTCTTGCGTCTCTCCCTCACAGCAAACACTACCGAAACAACGTGTGATATATATATGGCAGCTTCAACAACCACCTCCGGCAATCGGGAGCTCCCTGCGTCTAAGTATGACCTAAGCACATACTGGGGTCGTGTCAGGCAGTCTGCAGAGCTATGCGATCCAAGGTATGTATATATGGTGAGATTCTATACCTGGGTTGTCTTCCGTCCGCCTGGGCGGTAGGGGAGCCCTGAAGGCTCACCTTCGTTATCCTAGTTCTTGACCGGAGAGCATCGCTGACTGGCTTTTCATTTGGAACCTGCATGTAGGACCCTGTTTGTCTCTGCAGACGGGCTGGAGAATGCAAAGAAACTCATCGAGTCGTATAAGGGCGGCCAGCTACTGTCCATGACGCCGGAGTTATGGCATGCGAAGAAAGTGGTCGACTCTACTCTACACCCTGGTTCGTCTGTCCATCCATCCATCGCTCGAAATTAAAAAGAGTTGAAGAGAGGAAGAGGTTGCTACAGATTCTGACCCTTTGACGATAGACACTGGCGAACCCGTCTTCTTCCCCTTTCGCATGTCATGTTTCGTCCTCTCCAATTTGGTTGTCACGGCAGGCATGCTCACACCAGGCTTGGGTGTACGTGTTGACCCCTCTTCAATTTTTTGCTTCTTCTTTTCCTTTTCGTTTCTTTTTTTTTTTTTTTTTCCCCTTGAAATCGGTTAAGAGGACCAATGGGTCTAATATGAGTCGATAGACGACCGGGACACTTCTCTGGCAAATAACCAATCAGTCGCTCAACGTTGCGATCAACAATGCCAACGCCAACAAATCTACCCCCCTTTCCACTTCGGCTATGGTTAAATCTTACCTCCTTGCTGTCTCGGCGTCATGCTCCGTTGCTCTGGGACTGAATGCTGTGGTTCCGCGGCTCAGAATGGCGGCCAACACGAAGCTGATACTCGGTCGGCTTGTCCCATTTGCCGCCGTGGCCACTGCCGGTGCGCTGAATGTCTTTTTGATGCGCGGCGAGGAGATCAGACAGGGCATCGACGTCTATCCCGCCGAGCCCAAAGAACAAAAGGACAAAGGTGAGCGGGAAGTGGGTGAGGCGCAGAGCCTTGGGAAGAGTAAGAAGGCAGCCACTCTGGCAGTGAGCGAGACGGCCATCAGCCGGGTGCTGAACTCGACTCCCATCATGGTCCTGCCGCCGTTAATACTGGTCCGTCTGCAGCAGATGCGGTGGTTGAAGGCACGACCACGGCTTGTTCTGCCCGTCAACCTGGGTAAGTCTCTCTCGGTTAGGGTATGGCTTTGACGGTGCTGATGCTTTTTTTCCCTCCGCAGGTCTGATTCTGACAACGTCCATCTTCGCCTTACCTCTCGCGCTGGGTGCCTTTCCACAGCGTCAGGCCGTGCAGGCGTCCTCTCTCGAGGAGGAATTCTGGGACCGTGGCGGAAGCACCGGGCTCGTTGAATTCAACCGTGGAATCTAGCCGGACAACCTTTTCCAGTTGCGCATGACACAGCTCTTCTGCCTTTGTTTCTCCGGGTTTGATGGCATCTCGGCACTTCCAGCCGTTTACCTGTTCACCTTTTCGTTTTTCGGTCTCATCTCTGTTCGCCTTGTTGGTCTCTGCCCATCTTTCTATTTTACCTATTTGGGTTCGCTGACTGCGGGACCCGGGCCAGTCGTAGCGAGGGCGTTTTTAGATTGTTTTTGCACCAGGCTGGTTGCCTTGGTGTGCATCCGGGTGTCATGCTGAGGAGAACATGCGTGTGGTTTTCTGGCAAGTTTGGCAGGTAGATTTTAGACTCTATAACATCAATATGACATGATCTATGCCTTCAAGAAATAGGCTCAAGAGAAGGGCGACACTTTGCCACCGAGGTTCGCGTGAGATATGCCCTGTATATATATGTATATCTATATATGATTTCGAAGCTGGTCATCGCCAGACGAGAACTACGAGACACATAAAACGGTCTCCCTGGGAGTAAAAAGGCCAGGGATGGGACGACACCTGGTGACGCTGTCGGTCCATGTGATGGGCCAGTGACGCTATAGAGCATCAAACCAGGTCCCCTGCTATGCCTGCTCTAAGACTGAGATCTTCCTGGGCCTGCTTGTGTCTGCTTATGTCTGCTTGTGTCTGCTTGTGTCTTCGTGGGTCTGGCACCGCTGTCGAGTTGCCCGTACGACGTAGGAATGGCCTGTGGCTGCAGTCAGTCCTGATATCTTGCTTTCAGTGCTTCGCTCACAGTACATCCACTCATCCACTCATCGACACATACAATGACAGCAATCATAAACAACGTAGAATAAAAGAAGAAGAAGAAAAAGTCGACGTTTGTGACTTTTTTTTCTGCCAGTTTCCCAAAAGGGTTTTCCGCCTTTTTTTTAACGACATCAAAAAAAAAAACTTCGAAAACTTCAACTTCAACTTCGACAGGAAAACAAAAAAACGACGAAGACGGACGATGGACGCTCAGCCTGACGGTGTCTTCTTCTGCTCTTTGTGCTCGATCTGACGTCCCTCTGCTCATCGTCCGCAATGCCTGCTTTTCGTCTTTCCCCCCGCCTCTAAGCACCGTCTGGTCGACCCGTGGATTCGCCGGGCCCTACTTTTCCACTCTGCCACCGCCACACACCAGCGCTCCCCTGAAGAGACCAGGAGACCAAAGAGAGAGAGAGAGGGACGGACTGCAGAGAGGAATAGACTGAGGATCTCTTTCATCCTGTAGAGAAAACCCTCTGGCTCCATCTTCTTCTCGGACTCTCCCACTCTTCGTCGTTTATTTTTTTACTCCTTCCATTCGCCCTTTTCTGTCCTGGCGTCCTTCTCGGGCCCCTTTGGCTGTCTCTTCGTTTCGGCCGTCACAGGCACCTCGCACACACAACAACAACAACAACAACCACGCCTTAAAAGACGCTGCTAGGACGTCTGCTCTCCAGCATCTATCATCATTTTCACGCCTGGAACGAGGGTTTTTGCCCGTTTTCTCGTCTGCTTTTGCTCACTGGAGAGCCCTGGGCTGATAGCGAAGAAAATTATATATATATATACCAACCGCTTTTTTTCGTGACCGGCAGCACCGGTTTTTTTGGGGGCTTTCGCCATGTCGACCCCTTCTACTGCTACGGCAACTCATCCATCACACCACCAACGTTACGGATATTCCCATCATCAAACATACCAGCCGAACCCCCAGTCCTTCCCCACCGCGTCGGTGGCCAGCAATGCGCTTGCAAACTCGTTCAACAACTACACATCCAGCCATCAGCCTACCACAAGCGGCCTCTCCCTCGCGTCCACGCCCAAATCAACTGCTCCCTTGCCGTCCATGTCCGCCTACAGTGTGCCTACCGTCCTCCCGACTGCTCAGAGTCGGCGGAAGCAGCCAGACTGGGGAGAGTTTTATAAGAATGGCGTCCCCAAGGAGATAATCGTCATTGACGACGACGATGATACCAACGACGGTCCTGTCCCCGTGCTTGCCACAGGCAGCTCTCTGACCGTGGCATCGACGGGCAGAAATGCACAGCGTGCTGCTCCTGCTGCTCTGCCGGCAAACAAGAAACGGAGAACCGACGTCAGTTCTGGCGTTGACGTCTACTACGATCGGCCAGCTTACTCGGTCTCTTCCCAGAAATACGGCGAGGGCTCGTCTGCGCCTTCAATGTCGACCGATCGCACTGCATCCATCCACACCACCGCTCCCACCTCGCTTGGCTCACAGGCCAGCGCTCCCGCAAACAATGCCTATCTCGATGATGTCGCCGTCGGCCAGAAGCGGAAGCGAGTCGTGACACGTAAGGCTGCACGTGATGAATTGAAACGGAGAGAACTGGAGGCCGTTGGCGATGCGTTCAGCAGCTATATACCGCCTCCAAAGCCGCCTATCAAGGCCAAAGACGTCGTCGTCCCCGTCATCCGAGACGTAAGCAACCCTTCTTCCCGCAACCCCTTGCACGCTGGATATTCTAACAGCATGACAGTATAACGCGAACAAGAATCAGAAGATCGATGACGAAGATGGTCATTATATCGTCAATCCCGATACCAACTTGACCGACAAATGTATGGCTGTCTCTCCCCCATCCCGCCCAATCCTCTTGTGTCTTTCATTAGGACTAACCATGTCGCCTCGTCAGATTCAATCATCCGACTCCTCGGCCAAGGGACGTTCGGCAAAGTTGTAGAAGCATATGACAGACAAAGAAAGACTCGTTGCGCAGTGAAGATCATCAGATCTGTGCAGAAGTATCGCGATGCATCACGAATTGAACTCAGGGTCTTGTCCACCCTCGCATCCAACGACGAGACTAACAGAAACCGGTGTATCCACCTTCGGGATTGCTTCGATTTCAGAAACCATATCTGCATCGTCACCGACTTACTGGGCCAGAGTGTCTTTGATTTCCTAAAAGCAAACTCCTTCGTACCATTCCCAAGCAGTCAGATTCAAAATTTTGCCCGACAGCTCTTCACTAGCGTTGCATGTAAGCAGCCATCCCAACCTAACACCCCCCCCCTCCCTTTTTACAATAATCACACTGGCTTTTACTGACTTGTTCTACGTAGTTCTCCATGATGTCAATCTTATACATACGGATTTGAAACCTGAAAATATCCTTCTTGTGAGCAATGCTTACCAGACCTTTACATACAACCGAACCATCCCATCCTCATCCCACACTACCTCGAGAACTGCTCGGCAACGACGTGTTTTACTCGACAGCGAGATCCGTCTAATAGATTTTGGATCCGCTACCTTTGATGATGAATATCACTCTTCGGTGGTATCCACTCGGCATTATCGTGCCCCCGAGATTATTCTCAACCTGGGGTGGAGCTTCCCCTGTGATATTTGGAGTATCGGTTGTATTTTGGTCGAGTTCTTCACCGGAGATGCGCTCTTCCAGACCCACGACAATCTCGAGCATCTTGCCATGATGGAGAGCGTATGTGGCGGCAAAATCGATCCGAGAATCGTCAGGCAAGTTTTACAGAGTCGTAACGGACACAGCGCGAATTCTGCTGCCAAGTATGTTGGGCATCTCGTCTTTATTTTTCTGTGGCGCCTCTCGGACACATTACTAAACATGTCTTCCAGGTATTTCAACCGTACAAAACTCGACTATCCGAATGAGGAAACATCTAGGGCGTCGAGAAAATATGTAAAAGCAATGAAACAGCTTCATGTAAGTTTGCAGCAGTCCAGCCTATAACTACTATATACACATATGCTAATAGGGCGTACAGGAGTTTATTCCCGCAACAACTTCCTTCAACAAACAATTTCTCGACCTGCTCCGCCGTATTTTTGTCTATGACCCTAAAGCTCGCATCACCGCTAAAGAAGCCCTTAAGCACCCCTGGTTCAAAGATACCATCATTGACGATGGCACTGAGGCAGTCCGCATCGGCGAGCAGATCCGACGAGAGCAGCAGCAACGAGCCGCCTAGGACCACCATTTTCCTTCCAATGATATCAGGTTCCATTTTTATTTCTTTTTATTACTACATTTTCTTCGGCGCATTTACCCATATAATTTGTGTGTCGGTTGATACCATATACTCCCTCTAAGCGCCAGGCACTTAACTCTTCTTCTTTTGGAGGCTGACCCGCCAACGAGTGCGATAACCGGCTATCACATACTAGCTGTGCTGACCGGCAATGTCGGCAACTTTCACCCTCTCAACTTTGTCTTCTTGTTTATTACTTTTATGTCACTCTAGACACTATTTTTTTTTCACATTTTCACATTCCTCTGTTGTTGCTTTGAGACAGTTCCTTAATGACTCAGCAACGTTCGCACATCTACGGCACTGCGCTCTGTTTTATGATCCGGGAAATATGACCCCATTGGCGTTTAGCTAGGTATGATGGCATGGGAAATGGGAGAGGTATGAGGGCTGAGGTGGAGGGCGCCCTCGTATGCGGTGGGACTAATGAAGATGACTTAATTTTCAATCCTTTTGATTACACAAAATATACATGCTCGTCGACGGAAATGCCATCGCCATCGTCAATGCCATTGTCTTCTTCCGTTCTGCTGATATTTCTCAACTGCATGTCCCCTTGAATAACCATGCTAAGGGTACGCCATAGTGCTCAGTCTACGGGAAGGGGGATATGTTGAATAATATATAATGACACGAGAAATATACCAGTTGAAAATGTTTGTATCATATTCCATATACCCCAATGAATTCAGACTGACATCATAAGATTGAAAGTAATTGGTGAGACCAGAAGGAAGTGGAGATAACCAAAAGTGAGCCCACGGTTAGACAACCGAAAGACTTTTGAAGTCCTCCCATCATCCATCCACAGACTAGCAAGATATCACCAGCTGGTTACATGTTCTAAGACCAGTGCCTAGCCGGGAGTGAGCTATTAGCAGGATACTCAGGCCAATATTCAGAGTAGCAATCTCAGTCAATACTTACCAGGACACAGGAAAAAATCCGGGGGCCGCGTTGTTAGTCAACGCCTGCCAGGGTCCCAGGGCAAAGTCGACATCGTTAGGTCCGCAGCCTTCACAGGTATCGGCCACAGTGACGGTGATGGTCTTCCCATTGCTGGTGTTCTTAGCAGTGATGTGTCTGCCACAGTTGGGACTTCCGGCGCCTTTCATATGATATTTGCCCAGAGCAACGATATAGTCGCCATCTGAATGCGCCACGCCGCAGGAGCCTGTCGCCCCAAACTGATAGTAGATAGTTCCTTTTCCCTGTCTAATCATTCTCCAGCGTTAGGACAACGGGAAGCGTAAGAGAGGAACGATTGAAGAAAGGAGGAGTATTCTCACGAGTCGTTTTCCACTCCTGTGGTAAGGCCTGATACAACACCAGACACTGCGAGGAGGCAGATTGCATGAGATATCTTGATGGCCATGGTGGGATTTGGCACACTGGAATTGCAAGAGTTTCAGTTTATTATCGAGAGGATTTGATGCTGATAGTCGAACTGATCTATCAAAATGGTAAATCCGAGAAGTTACTGCATCTTATATATTCCAGTCCATCCGTAGATTCAACCGACTTTGCCGGTTGAATCTACGGTGTAGACCATTTCGGAGCATGCCATAACTCATAAGGTATCATTTGCATCCTGTTGGCTTCCCAGTTGAGCGCAAGAAGGATATAGCATTCGCCGTGTTGACCGCAAAGGTTGGAGGCATACGGAGTATTCAAGTTCACAATGAAGAACGCAGATCATGCATTCGCCAGGTATCGTTAGGTGAGGCGCCAGACCAAGCGCGACTAGCAAAAGGAATAAGAGGAAGCTAAAATAAGATAATATCTCCGGATCCGATTTGAGGATATATCGAGTGCATTCGCGTTGGTAATCCGATATCTATTACCGGAAACCAACAGGTTTGCTTAGAGTGTGATTGTTGGAATTAATTGATGCGCGTGTGTATTGTGGGGGAGAAAAGTGCATTCGGAACCAATCTTAGCGCTGTTCCTGAGTGTCACTCATTCGCGCGATTTTGCCCCATTAACTAGAGTAGCTCCACTCTGCGTGCTATACCATTGGCGGGAATAAAAGAGATGCAGGGTATGAGTATATAAAGTCGGTAACCATGATCAAGAACGTGTGACAACGGTGTGTATATTTCAAGCCTATAGACTCATCGATTCCATGTAGGATTATTTGGTAAAAAGAGGCAATTATCCGAACCCGGGATGGGATACTAACCAACTGCAGGATAAAACAAATCTTGTAGTATGGGCCATATTGACTGTAGAAAGCCCATGTGCGTTCATATCATATTTTTCTCAGCCTGCTCTTGCAGGCCGTTTCAATGATTGGTGTCCTCCCGGCCATACTGAGCCCCATCTGGCTGAGTCTAGAATGAGGGAGAAATGCCTTGAGGGTTCCAAAACACATTATCTGGATCAAATCTCGCTTTGATGTCCCTCAGTCGTGGTAGGTTCTCTCCCCAGTACAGACTCTGCGCCGTTTCACTGTCCAGTTGGGTGTCTATAGAATTGGCATACATGCCCCAATCTCCCTCTACCATGGATTGTGTCACGCTGTCCATGATCTGCTTCAGCAAAGCAAAACTCTCCCGGGGCAATTTGCCATTCTCTCCAAAGTCGTTGAGTTGCCAGAGCAGCAACTTGTTACGGTGAGCATAGGATGTTGCGGATGTACCGGCTCGGGAGACAGCCGACTTCGGGCCACCATGCAACTCAAAGAGGATATCCCAGGAGTGACGTGCATCGGCGTCATTAATGTTGGTGAATAAGGTTGATACTAATGAGTCGATTTGCTCATTTGTGAGAGATGGAGTGACAAGGCTGCTAGCATAGGTCGTTGTGTGCTGTAAATTAGTTAGTATATTGAATTCTTAGCACGAGAGGATATCTCCTTTGTACCAACATACCGCATTGTATGGATATGTTTGGTCCAAGGGTTCACCGTCTGCGAAGTTCTCGAGTCCCTCAAGCCATCCTACAGTCTTGATAAGCGATGGTCTCGTTTTGAGACTGATTAAGAGAGGCTGTAAAGCTTGGAGAAGCCCCTGCTCATTACCAAAGTAAAGCCCCCGGATGGTTTGACTGTATGCAGTCACCGCAAAAGCTAGGTTGAGCTCTTCCCGAGCCGTCATTGCAAGGCGCTGCACTGTTTTAAGGGATTCAGCCACCGCTCTTTCATTCCAGGGAAGCTCGATGGCGAATACAACGACATGGTCTGGTAATTCAAATGTGTTGAACTCGAACTCGGTTACAATGCCGAATGATGAGCCAGCGCCTCGTATCCCCCAGAAGAGATCTGAATTTTCAGTAGCAGAACAATGCACTATGGATCCGTTGGCTAGAATAACTCTGGAGCCTTTCAACCAGTCTAGGGTAAGGCCCTGAGTGCGAGAGGCTCTTCCGTAACCACCGTGCAAGACGTGTCCAGCAATACCGACACTTTTAACCGTTAGGTACACGTCTTTAAGCCAACCGGGAATTCTTTAGACTACTTTTAAGAAAAAGGGAACAAAGGAATAGTAAAAGAGGAGAACAACATACCCAGGGCAGGTTCCATGGGGAATTGCTCTTCGCCCTTGGTTATACAATTCCACAGAGACGTGGCCTAGTCGAGCCCCAGGTTGGATGATGGCGGTGTGGTTGTCATGGAGGGTAACCTGATTCAGCTGCTCGAAGTCAATAACCAGATGTCCATCTTCGCCCCCGAACCCATATGATCCAGAACTGTGGCCTCCGCCTTTAGCGCTTATGCGCAGATTGTTTTTGAGCCCGCAAGAAACGGTAGCCTGAATCTGATCCACAGACCACGGAATCACAACAGCCGCGGGCGTATACGTCACTCGCAGATTCCAGGGAGATATTCTTCGAGCCCAGTCCCTCGAGCCTCTCACTACATGTGGAATATCTGCATCTGCTAGACATGACGTTAATGAGCGCGAATCCCTGCCGGCAAGTAGTATAACAACAAGAGCGGCCAACACAACCCATAAAACGAAGCCGGCGGGTTTACATAGCCAGTTGTAACACGGGGTATTCTTATGTTGTCGTGGTCTGACAGACAACAACGGTGTCGTTTGATTGCTCTCAGAGGGCATGTCAGGATAAAAGGAAAGCTGAAAGAGGAATGAATACTGTTGAATATGGCGACAAATGCTCTGATTCTTCCAGAATCGTCCTCGGCCTTGGGGCTCAATAACACGTATAAGCATGTATGATGAACATTCGGTTAGGCAAATGAATATTATCCGCCATCATTATTCTTTTCTGCAGGATTTTCATCTTGTCTGGCCTGAAAACTAGCTGACCAGCGGTAACCAGAGGACCTGACGATCAGCGAGCTGCCAGCCAACCATCTTCGCTCCGGGGCTGGTGGTGATGGCATCCGGTTGCCAATCTGACGTGTCACAGCCTATCAGGTATTTTCTCTTTGTAGGGAAGCTTGTTCTGTCCATACTATGTATGTACATGGTACACGCTACCTGGTATAACGTCTGTACTTCGTATTGCAAAGCGCCATCGTGGCAGCCGAGTTAATAGCTGAGAATTAATAATCTACATAGTAGGCGTTAAGAAACTTGCCGAAATAGTCGGGAGTCACTACTAAAGCTAGCCAATAGGAGAACAGGATTTCGTACCGGAAGTTATTTTATCCGTATAACACGTGATGGCTATCAGATTTAATTACTAATCCATTATCAAAGTCTAAGGAGAAATTTAACGTTATTTAATGTAGAAGCAGCAGGGCCAGCCTTGGATGATGGCTGAACAGGGCGTTTTTGAGCGTGGCCGACCATATTGTACAGTGAAAATAGACTAACTTTCCGCCCCAAGACTCCGTGACTCTTTACCGGTAGCAGGCAGAAGAAAAGCAACTTGGCTAGTCTAGACAACTTGCTCCGTCTTAATCGTGGTAGACCCGTTGGGGATGGTCTTTGCTGGCATCGCGCTCCCAGCTTTCGTATTCCACATGTCAGCAACAGTTTCCACTGCTCTCTCGACCACAACCCTAACACGGTCCCTCAAGACCGGGTAGGAACATTCGACTTCTAGTGTTTCGAGCCACACCCGGGCGATATGGTTGTCGACCTTGATCTCAACCCCTGGCACTGGTATCCCGAGGGAATGTAATCGACCCAACTCCAGCTCTTCCATTTCCTGGAGCTCCTCCTCATCTTCCGATCCTTCCAGCTCAGGCGTATCAGCCTTGCCAGCGTCTTCATTGGATGGGGAACCCGCGTTGGGGCCTCTACCGCGTTTCACTTTCGGACGTTCAATTGGAGCGATTTCGGAGCCAAACTGTGCTTCAAGGATCATGCATAAGCGCATAAAACGCTCTTCGGGGGTCAGGTGGGAATGGGGGTTGTTCGGGAGCGGCTCATGGCTATGGCAATGCTTATTCTTACTTGAACCTGGATTCACAAACTCGAGTTAAATCGTACTTCTTTAAGCAAATGGTACAAGGGTTGTAGACCCAAAAAGAAGGGGGGGGCCTTACGTTTAACAGCTGCCGGGCTGCTCTCTACAGTGAGCAGTACCGCCATCACAGCGTCAGCAACTCCATCGTTCATCATATTACCTTCCCACTCTACTTCAACCTCGCGACGTTGTGGGTTATATCTCACAAAGACGCAGCCCATTATCAGATATGTGGTTAATATGCAGGACGGTATCTCCTCGTCTGCTTCTTCTTCCCCATTTTTCATAATCGAGTCATTCTGAGACTTGCTTGAGGTTCCATTGGAGTTTTTAGTGTCCTCAGTCGAAGGCGGGTCGATCTCTTCGATCAGGCCAAAAGTACTTTCAAGTGCCCAACGGATGAGATCAATGCTCGCCGTACTGAGGGTAATGTACTGTTTGCACGTAACCATTGTTGTGGTAAGCCCAGCATATTCCCTAAGGTCATCAGATGCCATCATCGATAACTTGAAGCCATTTTGAACAAGAACGCCGTCCATTAACCGAGAGTCGTCCTGTCCCATTGGGGGTGACGTCTCCGCTAATCGGCCGACGACTCTAGCAACTTTGTCAACCATAAATGGGATGCGAACCTCGTCACAGTTGGCAGGAGTGTAGACTTTGACTTTGACTTCCTTGTCCACATTCAAGCTCAACAGCTTTGATTTCAACCTCATCATCTGATGTTTTTCTCCATGAACAAGAATCTAGTTTGCAACATTAGCCAAAGGAGCGTACCTGATAGGATCGATGTCAACTCACCACAACAGGAGCAGCAACAGATTCAATGAATTCCCTGTTTTCAACACCATCAACGTGAGCTGCAAAACTGATTTCATCGACTGTGCATCTTCGTTGTATCATGATCTTTTGGTCATCACTAGGGCCGGCGGCATTTTTAGCACTCATAACAGCCGGGATCTGCTCGGGCTCGTTGATTATCTGTTTCCCCATCGTACCCTCGACGCTGTAACCCGTCATAATGACACCGTTCCGTTCGTTTGGCGCCCAGCGCTCCAACAGTTCTCTGCTAGTTCCTGTTTGGAGCATACCAGGAGATGCAAGCATGACGCACCCTCCCACATCCTCGAAGCGGTCCAAGTTCCTTAGACTCCGCACGAAACGGAAGTCCCAGGGCCCGGCAGTAACGCTCTTATCGCCTCTGGCTTCAGCTTCAGCCATGCGCTGGCGGAAGAGCCGCTTTATGTTCTCATTCATCGCCCCAATGTATGTTTGGTATACAACCATACATCGACGAGCCATATTTCCGATATAGTAAATTGGCACTTTCTGTAGTTCAGGGTGCCGGCTCCAGTATTCATCCAGGATCAGGAGCAGCTCCTGTGCTCGACCGAGCGCAAAGACGGGCATAAGGACCCTTCCTCCTCGATTTATAATGCTAGTGACCGATTTTATGAGGGCCGCTTCACGCTCTAGTCGAGGTGGATTTGATGATATACCAAAAGTAGACTCTGTTATCATGACGTCTATTTTGACGCCCTTGGGGACTTCTGCAGATATCAAGTGGCGATCCTCTTCTCTGGAGTAGTCACCAGTGAACAGGATGTTAAGTCCCGCGATGGAAATAAGAAACATCGCAGCACCGAGCACATGGCCGGCCGGAAATGGAGTGATTCGAATGCTGTTGATCGTGTGGGTGGTATTGAAATCAATAGTTTCAATTATGGGGAGAGTCGAGAGATGGTCATGCTCCGTATAGAGGCTTGTTCGTTGATCAGAGGAGGAAGATGTATTACTGACACGGACATTATCCTGGATCAGCCATTTGTAAATGGCCTTGGTGGCATGGGTCATGAAAACTCGGCCTTTGAAGTTCGTTTTGCTGAGGACATATGGTAGGGAACCCGAATGATCCAAATGGAAACTAGATGAGCAATGGGTGAATTTCCCATTAATTAGCTATCTGTTTGCAATTGTACAAGAGGACAGCATCCAAACAAAAAAAAAAAAAGTGTGCCCGATGGAATGATTTGGCCGGAACAAGCTATGGGAGAGATGAATACACAGGGATACGAGGGGGAGCTCCAACTTCCGTGGGAATAAAAACTTGAATTTGCATTGAATATCTCATAGTACATGTTTGAAGATGGTGACAAAGGCCGTGCAGTATATGTATATGTAATATATATGTATATATGGGGCGTAAAATCCTTCTGCTCAAGACAGCCAAAAGGGAAGGACGATTCCGTTATCCCTGGAAGCATAAGGATGGGGAGCAAAACGTACTGGCTTATAAGGAGGATATCAACAGTACTCAGGTCGAAGTCATCGAAGAAAGGCAGCGCGGCAAAGCCATCTTTGGCTGGGTGCATCCCGGCATCAAGCTGTCGACCATCTACAATTAGCTTGAGTGCTTTCGACACAGTGATGGGGACGAAGGGGATTCGAAAAAAAATAAAAGAAAAGAAAAAAAACGCACCATAACCGTCTTCCCCTTGTATTGAATGATATGACAGGACCTCCCGACTTCGTTGCCGCCTCCCAGACAGTGAAATAGAAGCTCATCAGAGGGATCTATGTGCTGCTCGTCCGCGTTTGCTGAGAACGAGCCCTTTCGTTTCGAAGCCATCCTCCTTTTCCTACTTTAGTTCGTTAATGTCTTCCTGTATCGACGTCTGGCCCCGATCTGCAGCATACACCGACACTCGTCAGGCTCCAACGAAGCTCAAGTCCTCGTCGTCGGCTGAGATCCTGTTTATATCTCAATTTGTTTCTTGTCGAAAGTTGAAAAAGCGAACATATTGATTATGTAAGTAAATGTCCACGTGACTTCTCTTTTTGTTCTTGCAAGGAAAAAAAAAAGACGCGAAAAATGACATCAAAAAAGAGACGAAGAAGAAGAAGAAGAAGAAGAAGAAGAAGAAGAAAACAAGCTGAAGGGAAAAGATCGCGCGCCTTGTCTGCGTTTGCCGGATATCTCTTGATAGCTCTTCATATTGCGCTGGCCGTTTCATGCCCCCAGATGGTCTGAAGTGAGATGAAAGCTGGCTCCCGGGGGAGAACTCCTCCATCTTGCGCTGCATTCACCCGGGTTGATATTCACCAACGGGCGAGTTACAATAAAGAGATCAACAATATAAGAGGACAATAAAAGGAACACCAACGAGGCTGTCCTCTCTCACTCCGTCCTGGTCCACGATGGCGCAGACTCAGTCTCACCAGCTCCCTCCTCGCACCTTTTCTCCCCCTGCGTCCAGTCCCTCCCCTGGTGCCCAGCAGGCAGCTTCGATGCCAGGTAGCAACGCTCCCCCTCCGCCCAAAAGACAGCGTCTCTCGCCTCTGCCGCAGTCATCCCAGCCGTACAACTCTCCTCACTTCGCGCCAGTGCAGCTGTCTGTGAACGGGAGCTCTGTGAACGGTATGGCAAAACAGACACCGAATGCGCCCCCGCCACCGGGCTCGATGGGGCCCCCTTCACGCCCGGTAGAGAAGGCCACGGATACAGCTGAGCTTACCGACGTGCTCGCCTCATCCGGTATAGACGTAAAAGAGGAGGAAGCCTTCTTGACCAGCGGGTACGGAAAGCCGACAAACCAGGCACAGACCGCCCAGCAAGCGCAACCTCACGCCATCTCACATCCCTCGCAACCACCCCGACCACAATCTAGTTTCTCCAACTCGTTCAATTCCCTACCAACTGTGGGGACCGTGACCCCGGCAAACAGCTTTTCCGAACAGACACCCAAACAGCCCGTCCTTCAGCCCGCAGCTTATTCCCAGCAGGCACCAACCGTGGTTCCGCCTGCCAAATCACCGGAAGAACTGGCCCAGGATGAGAAACTACGCCAAGATACCGCTGCCAGCAGGAGAGAGCAGTACCATCTCCAGGCCGCCTTTTTACACACGGCTGTGATGGAGAAGAAGCTCGAGAAACGCGCTCTGGAACACGGAGTTAGGATGCCCATGAGCGGCGTCTTCAGACCCCTTCCCGGGCGCCCAACCGGACCAGTCGAAGTCACTGGCCCGGATGGCTCGTCCGTCATCCGAAGAGACCAGACCATTCTTAACCCAGAGTCCGCGCTGGGTGACATCATTTCATTGCTCTCCCTGGCTTCGGAAGAACGACTTAGATCCGTAATCGATCACTCTGTCACACTCTCGAGAAACCGGCGAGTGAATTCCCACGGTGCTGTATCACTGGAATGGGCCGATTTGGCCTCCACGCCAGAGCAACCTGGAGACAATGCTGCTGTGATAAGTAAGTCTTATTGAATGCCTGTACTCTTGTGCTTTCAGGAACTAATATTGGTTAGAACCTGACCAACCCTCCACGGCTGAAAACACGGTTAACAATGCTGCCACAACAGCGAAGAGAACTACACCAAATGCTTTAACATTGAAAAGCCGTCGACTGATTGATAGGGACGAATCACACGAAGAACGTCGGGCTACGAAACGTGCGAAACGCAATGCGGATGCCATTCTTAGTAACGATGGCCGGCTGCCCACACCGGGGGCAGCTACACCAAATGGCCTTCAGAGCGAACGTGCTCCGGATATTGATAAGAAGATATCCAAGAAAGATATCAAAAAGATTGACGTCAAAGCTACTGGCGCAGTACAACACCAGCATGCAATCGAAACTGCTCGCATGCAGACCAATAGCCTCTCTTCCAGGTTCGGTAAGAAAGGAGGCTACAGCTGGTTAAAGTCTTCACAGCCGGCGGCTAGTAGAAGCGGGTTCTCGACCCCTTCTCGACTTAACACAGTGACAGCTGCTGGATCAGCCTCAGGAGTCACCGGAAGGCCAGGTTCTACGGCAGTCGGGGTGAAGGGTATTCGCAGGCAGTTCGGCGATTGGCGAGAGGACAAGGAGAATGGAGCTGGAATCCAAATTCGAGATATACTCTTCACGCTAGAAGTGGATGGCAGGAGCCTGAAGCATCTACAAAAAGCCTATTCAAAGGATGCAAAGGAGGATACCGCTGTCTCCTGAACTACATTCACCTAAGCCCTCCGCACAGTTCGCTAATCATATCCCTCGGATGCAGCATGGAATATTTGGCAGAGCCAATCAAGACGCTAAGGTGTTGCTAAAGAGGCATCTACTTGTGGGAGGCTCTATTTCACTATGATTACCACCATACACCATCATAAATCCTTCGATCCTGTTTTATTCTCTCCCCCATGCATCACCCAGGCCAACTCGGCCCTTACGACCTTTAATCTTACTCCTTTTCTTCTTCCGCTTCTCCATTAAATTCCGTGTTAATGTCCCGCTTGGACTGCCCGTCTTCGTCTTCAACACTTTTTCAACCTCAAGTAATCATTTCCTCTTTTACACTAGCATTCTGTTCTTTTATCAAGGGAAAGCTTTGTTGTTCACAGGCGCAATTGCATTTCAACTATTATGCCGCTTGCCCTTCTTTTATTTTGAAATCTAGGAGACTGCAAAACAGGCATATATGAATAAAAATTTCATTCAAATTTGATTACCACTCCCTTCTCAAGCTTCAATCCATCAGAGTGATGATCCAAGGATAACTAACTAGTTAAACCAGCGAATACTTCCTCGACCACGGCCGCTGTGAGCCTTGCAATCTCTTCAATCTCCTCTGTGGTGCAGTTGTACGGCGGTGCAAGCAGGGCGTGGTCACCACTTATCCCGTCCTTTGTACCGGCACCTCCATAGATCGAAAAGCTGTACTTTGGACTCAAGGCAAGCTGCTGGACCATCATACCGACCGCGAGTTTTGGGTCAAATGGCTCCTTGGTTGCTTTATCCTTGACAAATTCGATCTACCCCGACGGCTGTCAGTGTTTATTTGGCTCCCTAGTATTCGAAATCAATGGGAGTCGACTTACTCCCCAGAACAAGCCCTTGCCCCTGATATTTCCTACATTCGGATGGTCTTCCAGATACTCCCTTAACCGACCTTCAAGCAAGATGCCTCTCTCTTTTACACTTTCCAGGAGCTTTTCTTCTCGGATTATCTTCTGGACAGCGAGGGCTGCCGCGCACCCAACCGGGTGGCCCTGATATGTCTGGCCATGACGAAAAGCGCCAGTACCTTTGTCTAAGACGTCAACTACCCTGTTCCCAATAAGGACCCCTGAGACGGCAGCATAGCCTCCCGCAAGGCCTTTTCCAACTGTTTGGATATCGGGGACAACGCCCTCTTGTTCCCAGGCGTGAAGCGTCCCGCATCGACCCATCCCAGACATAACTTCATCCAGGATCAGAAGGGCCCCATACTTGTCACATATCTGCTTGACAGCTCGAAAGTATCCCTCAACAGCTGGAACGCAGCCCAGAGCCTGTTCGACATCAGAATTCTACCTTATTGTTGGAGAGGGGAAAGTGTCGAGGATCCCTTGATACTTACTGCACCTACGACCGGTTCAGCAACAAAAGCACATACAGAGCTGGCGCCGACTCTGTTGAATTCAGCGTCCAGCTCTGCAGCTAGCCTGGTAACATACTCTTCATCTGACTCTCCGTCCGCCTTCCCGCGATATGTATTACATGGTGAGACATGCGAGACATTCCCTAACAGCATAGGCTCAAACAGCTCTCGGCGGAAGACATGGCCACCCATTGACAGAGAGCCGAGAGAGACCCCATGAAAAGAATGCTTGCGGGCAATAAATCTCGTCCTCTGTATTTCAGGGACTGGGAGCTCTAGGAAATACTGTCGAGCGAGCTTTATCGCTGCTTCCATTGCTTCAGAGCCAGAGTTCGCGATAAACACCTTTGGCAGCCTTCCTCCCGTGGATTTGGCGAGAAAGGTGGCGAGGTCCTCAAAGGCACTGGTGCTGAAGAAAAGAGAATGCGTATAGGATATCTCGTCCATCTGCTTCTTCATCGCCTCCTTGACCTTCTCATTCCCATGTCCTAGGCAGCAAACGGCAGCACCTCCCGTGGAGTCGAGCAGCCTCTGGCCACCTTCGAGGATAACATAGCATCCCTTGCCACCTATCACCTTTTGCGGTACAAGTTTCAAGTTGCGATGGAGTACAGCGCTGGGTTTTCCTCTTTCCATAGTGAGAATATTGTTGTATGATGAGATAGTTGACAGTTGGATTAATACGAGCAGCTATGAGTTTGCAGCAAAGTGCTGTACATGATGACTCAATGAAAACCGACTTAGCCAAGCTCTCGGTTAATCTAGATGCATTCTCCTCATATGCTTCGTATTATTGTTCGTTTCTAGTAGGCTCGTAGTTAAGTGAATCTTAGATGTCCTTGAGTTGTAGAACGCAGTAAAGTTGCCTCCACCAAGAGAGCTAGAAAACCATCACCAAATGATTTATGGCATAGAGACAGTTGATATTAGCCATTGAGGCGCAACCTATACCTATACGCCAAGAGGCAACATGAACGACCATTCCAGGCTAACTGTTAAAATGACTACTAAGGTAACCTAGTAAGTATCGTGTTAATTGATCCTGTACTAGTTCTAGATAATAAAGTCAAAGTCTTCTTAGAAGTCCACGGCGGTCTTAGTATATACCAAAAGTAAGCCTTGTCGCCCTCCATCCCAGGTTATTAACACCTGTAAAGTGACTTTCTTCAGCCATGTCGTGACAATTGATGGTCAGCGGATGTTGAAATCCGGAAATGCTGGAGCGAGGTCTAACGCATCGCCCTTTAGCGGCGCCGTATTAATCCTGTTGAGCAGAGCCATATCTTCACTATCCGCTCGGCTCGACCGCAGTGAGTTTCGACGTCCTCTGTTGGATAACAGGATACGAACCATCATAGATTTCGCCCAACCTGCATAGCGATAGTCGATTTAAGTTGATATTGGGCAAAGTTGGTTTATCCGAAATCAGCCCAGTTTCTTGAGTTGTTTGGAGCCCCGATCTGCCGATCAACTATACTCATTTCACCATCAGGGACTTGGAGTGCGGATGATAGCGAGAGGTCACTAGGGCTGGGTTGATGATCGTTATTGTCTAGATCCATATACCCATCAATAATTGGAAGATATTGTCCAAACACAGCGTCCCACTGGTCCCAATCAAAGTTCACATTGGGCTCAAATGCGCCAGGTTGAGGTTGTTGCGGCTGTGGCTGCTGTGGTGGTGGCTGGGAGCGCGGCTGTGGTATCGCTTGTACTGGAATGTCGGCCATAGATGGCTGAGAGCTTTCCGTCTTGATCCCAATTGGCGCCATATTAGCTCGGTCGCCAGCCAGGGCAACATATTTCGCTGAGTTGGGATTAAGGTATCCGCGGGTGTCGCCTTGACTAAGAGACGGAACTTGACTGAGTGGCGGTGCTGGGTTTTGGTATACCGGTTGGGAGGGCCAAAGGAATGCGTTGGAAGACGACCGTGAGGCTGCGTTATTACCTACAATAGGCACTGTGCACGTAGGGCTGGGAATTTGTTGCTGCTGGGGCAGTGTTGTAAAAGTGATAGATTTCTTGTCCCGCGCACGGCTTAACTCCACTGATGCCTGTCGGACATGCGTGTGATCGTCATATGAATTCTTGATCATTGCGTAATAGCTATCTGCAAAGTTGGTCGTGGGAGAGGCACTCTGGTCCTTGAGGCTTCGTTCGTGATTCCGGGTAGAAGTGGTCGATATAGACGGGCTTCTCACAGGTGCAACACCAGCTTGCATCTGGGCTTGTTCAGTCCATAGTAATTGAGGGTCAAGTCCGGCCTTTAGCCATGCCTTCTCGCGAAGCCGTCGCATCATATCCCAGGCTTCACGCCCGCCATCATTGAGTGGTCTTGAAGTAGTCACTCCATCTTCCCCTCCGACAACTCCACCATCCGGTCCAGATAGGGAGAAGATCTTATCAATGAAGGCACGGGACTTGGGTGCTTCCGAGCTTGTAGGGCGTTCATAAAGGTCAATAAGCATTATCCTACAGGTTTGTTAGTATAGAGGTATAAATGTGGGTGTAGTGGTACATACATCGTTGCATGCATAGGTTGATGGTTGCTAAGATATATTAGTTGGCGTTGTTTAACAGTAGGGACATAGTCTGCTCACCCAGGCCAACTCCATTGAAATGGCTGAAAATCAGGATCTGTTGCAAGAAGGATAAACTTCTCCATGAAGCCATGACAATGGCGTAATGCACTATATTATTATTAAGACTGCACAAGATCAACAAAGATAGGAATCACGTACCATTGCCTTGCAGCTGGCCAAATTTTGCTTTTTGCATTCTTCAGGAATGGTTGATATGCTACACAAAAGGCCTATCTTCTCTGTCAGTAACGCTGGTAGAAGAAGATATTGGAAAGCAGTTCATTTACGTACCTTGTGTACGAACAATGAGAGTAGTATTTTTGCCCATTTATGGAACGCAGTTAGTACTGGGGTATGATATTGCTCGCCACAACCAGGGCCCCCATTTAGAAGATCTGGCTTGATGCAGCGAGTTCCATCGGCATCGGCCGTTGGATGCTTGGGGTTCGCAATTCGATCAACAAGCGCGTGTAGTTTAAATTGGAGGTCGACAAGGACCGATTTCAGGTCCTCCATATCTTTTCTGGTGACAGGTCTGGTTCCCAGTTGAATTTTTAAGATCTTCCGAATGGCACCTAAAAAGCGTTAATGAGTACGCATTCTAGGAGCAAACTAAGATGACTGAAGAAAATACTAACGGGCCATGATATATTTTCCTTTGGCCGAAATGTAGTACACGTTAACCATCGAGTTTCCACAGATGGTGGGATCATCCGGCTTATCGGGGCGCCTGTAGCCTTCATCTACCATCCGTTCATATACTTCTGCTTCTGGAGAAGTGAGGAGCGTGTCTTTTACTTCGCTAGTAAGACGGACATCCCAATAATTTTCGTCACTAACAAGAGGTGGAAGGCCGCTCGACATGGCAACTACGCCGTCCATGTGTACGATATGCCACCACATCCGTCTACGCATTTCGGCTTCGCAGTGCGATATTCCAAACTGGGCCGGGTCCCGGTGTAAGCCCATAGTTTGGGCCACGCGAAGGGCGAGACTGATGAAGAGGCTACTGGTCAAAGGTTCCTCCTCTTTGGATAGAATGGTTTGGACAAGTAGGAAGGCGGCTAAGCCGTTGAGTGACGGGCTTCGAGGGAACGAAATAGCCTTTAGCCATCGCGTGACCTCGTCGTGAAAAGGTTCAGTCAAGGCGGACCTTGATTCAATGTTGAATTCGGCATGTATGGTCTTTAGGGAGACAGTCACCGAGCCACCGTACCAAATGGCGTAGAGCAGGGGGATAAACGAAGGGTTAGAGTATGGTTCCCCAGGCTGTCTGTACAAGGTATACCAGTTCCAGAATGTCTCATAGGATCTGAGAACGTTTGGAGGATGGAGGACAGGGCTGATAGCTTGGACTCCAGACATGAAAGCTTTGTACAAGATGTTGCTTTGATGCCTTGTTGGTACGTGATTGAGCATCTCTGCTACTATAGGCTTCAAGTTTGAGGTAGGCGTGCCGCCCTTTGGATAGAGAATGGACTCATGCATGTTGTTATCATGGGTGGCCAGCCACTTTTGGACCTGGGCGTCGGAGTCATCTGCCTGCTGGACTGGGGATATCAAGGTGTCATTCCCATCGTCAGAGAGTGCCGGTTGAGGCACCGTTGGAGGTTGGGAGCGATTCTGGTTCCGGAGCAGTTGGTTTAGTTCGTTGATCTCGTCTGAAATGTACGCCCAGTAGGTGGTCCCAACGTATCGAGACCTGCCCCCATCCTCCAGACTCAAGTGACCCAGGTTCAATGTGCCGACAGGGTCAACTAGATCTGTAGATAAGCCTGTTGGGATCGGGAAATCTTCGTTGCTGGCATCGTCAGAATTACGCCTGGGGCTGGATTGCCGCGAAACGGAGCCAGAAGTCGAGACCGATTTATTACCGGTACGTCTGTGGCCACCATCACCAAACCCTTGCCTTCCAGCTGCATTCGAGCTGCCATCTCCACCTCCAGTTGTATTACTGTCGATAGCGTGTGCATCGCCTGTACGGCTAAGCCGTTCAATCATGGAGGTAAGACGATCCAGGCGGGTGGCGATCTCGTCAGAGCCAGATTTCTGCTCTCGAAGGCGCGCCTGGTAGTTGAGTAGCTCACGAAGACTCTCCTGCGGAGTAGACAGATCCGCTTCATCCTTTCCAGCTGGTTTCGATACATCTCTTTTGCGTTTCACTCGATGGTGGTTGTCTTCGGGGCGGTTTCGTTGGGCAGCGGCCGCCAGGCTGTCATACATACATTCGGTGCCGGTCTTAACGCAATTCCCACAGACCGGATGGACCTGTAGTAGTAATCCACCATGATAAGCCGGAGTTCTCTATTGATAGATGATAGAAGGTGTGCTTTAGGGGGGGTAAACTGACCTTATCACACTTGACCTTGCGCCGCCGACAGGTATGGCACGAGTAGCTCACCCTGGTCCGGGTGATCTGCTTTCCCCCAAAGCCATGGCTCTTACGCCGAGGAGGAGTCTTGCCGACGGGCGGTCCCGGAGGAGCCGCTGCTGCATAATTGCGACGCTCACCGTCCGAGTGACCGTTGTCTCTATGCAGTTCGGCGACGGGCCGGCGCTGGGGGAGGCTATCGCCCCCAGCAAGAGGCGGCGGGTTCTCGTCCCACAGACTCATTGACATGAAGAGAACGATGGAATAGAGGCATCCAACGGTCACGACATGAGTAGTTATATAAGATGGGGGGGAAAGGCGAATAGAGATGGGAAGAAAAGTGGAAGTTGAGAAGTTGAAGATAGAAAAAAACGTTCACGAGGGGAGTAGCGCGCTTATCGCCTCGCGGCGCCGAAATTAGGCGCGTCAACTCCACACTTGTGGGCTTCGAGATGCGTCTTAATTAATAATTGAAGAGAGGCGAGAGGATTTGTTACAAGATGACTATGATAGGATATACTATACTCTGTGTATGCGCAGCGAGGCTGTCTCAGAAATTGCACTACGTAGCTGACACTGAGAGGCAGTTTTCCTCTTTGTTCTTTCTTTTATATATAGTCATAAGAGGAGGCTCTGGTCCTCGCAACGGTTGCTAACGGAGTGAAGAGAAGTTTGGTCGAACCAGTTTGAAGGAGTCCATCCTAGGCCTTTCCCTTCTTCTTATCCTTCTTCTTCTTGGGCTCTGGGGCCGTACTGGCTGGCGCAGACATGCCGGGCATTCCAGGCAGGCCCTGCTGTGCCTGCATCTCCTTCATGGCCTCCTTGAACGGGTTATCGCTTACCCCGCCGCCAGTCAACGCAGGCGAGTGCAAGGGCAGGATGTTGCTGATTTTCCATCCCCGTGGCGTGGCGGGTGGTCCTGGGGGCTTGTCCGGTGTAGGCATGCCGTGTAGCCGCAGCCGGAAGGGAGTCTGTTCCGTGGTCGGATGGGCTTGCAAATATTGTGCAACGTGTGTGTATAGCAGGTGTTCTATACCAGTGGTTAGTTGGTATCGTAGTATTGAAGCAAAGATATGAAGACGTACTATTTTTTATACTGGAACTGGCAGGCCGCCTATCCTCATCTTTAAGCATCACACGCACTCGCCCAGGATTCGACCAGTCCTTAGGGTGCAGTTTATCAGGTTCAAAACCAACGGTCAACCCAAGCAGCTGTGTAGCATCTAGGATGTCCTTGGCTAGCGGGCTGTCTACGGCTAGTTTGCGGCTCACTCTCCTCCCTTCTGCGCGGGTTCTTGACTTGTCAAAATAGACGGGATATAGGCACTGATATGAGCGTGGGATATCGCGACCCTGGGCGACGGAGGGGCGGTGCACCTGCGGCAAGCTCGGGAAGAGCGGCGGAGAGGGAGAGGCGGTGGTAGGCCGGGCGGCAGGACGGTGAGGTATGCTGTTGGACGGCGGGGTCTCTATGTCTTTGTGATATATGATCGAGTCTTTGGCTGGATCAAAGTCTGACGGGTCCATGTCGTCTGGATCAGAGTCCGACACTTCTTCCACCCGTGCGTGTGACATTATGAGGGGGAGACAGGTATTTGGCAAGCGAGAAGAATGCAGAGTACTGGACTGAAGTTGAGAATATAGTCGCGTTGAGGTTGGTGGTTTTTTTGGTTCGATGATATAACTATTTTGCTGCGGCTGTGGATTTTCGCTCAACTTAATTAGCATTTTGCCTACCTGGGCGGAAGGTTCGAAGACTAGAATTTTATAGATCGGGAGTTACAAGGCAGTGATATGATACCCATCCATATGAAGTTCTTGTTCAATGTTGCTGCTATGCTGAGCGTCCATACTTTTACATTGCACTTCGTAAACCTATTTACCATACAAATCGCTACGGCATGTTGATAATGGGAAACATGATTTTAGACGTTCGCTAGCACCCAGAACCTCAATTGAGAATTGGTATTACCTGGAGCAGTACTTTTGCTTAGTTATCTGTTAGGGAATCTATGCGTAATGGGAGGGGCTGGGGGAAGTCATGCCCGCAGATATGTGAGTGCGCGTGTGTGCGTGGCTGGATCAAAGAAGGGTGGGAGAATGTTGAGGGAGAATGGAAGATGACGCTTAAATTTTCATCTCCTTAAGGCCATGCTTCCAGTAGGTGAGGTATGGAGTCATTCCGTCTTCGCGGTAGTTGAGAAGGACAAGCCTAACGGCCATCGTTAGATTGGTACACAGAAGGATTATTCTAAATGGGGAAAATGAATGCTTACATTCCGTCGGGGTTCATGGACTCGCCTGTAAAGACTTCATAGTCTTTAAAGTTACCGAGAATCTTCTTTGCGGCCTCTTGGGCGCCAGTCTGGAACTCCTTGATCTCATCTTCACTCTTGCCCTGCTCCTTGAGTTTGGCAACAACGCTCTTCATGTAGGCTGAGATGCAATGTTAATGCAGGGTACATGGAAAAGAAAAAAAACAGTAGCAAGAGGGAAGGGCCGTATCCAGGAAGATGAAGCGAGACCAAGACGTACCCTTGAGCGAGATAGTATAGCCTTTCTTATCGAAAGAGCTCAACTGCTGGAGCCGGAAAGCATCCACGATATCGATGACAACCTCAGAGGTATCGTCGTCAGCCTCCTCAGCCTCCTCGGCAGAAGGGTTGGCTCCAGCAAGTTCTATACATCCCCAGTTAGCAACTTCGGGTATAATGTGTGTATATACAATAGCTCACCGATTTTCTCGCTGCCTTTGGTGACTTTCCTGCCATCGACTTCAAGCAGGATACCCTTATCTTGAATTTTGTAAGCGTCCGAGATGATCTCGTCGTCGGTGATAACGTCCTGTCGTGCGTTAGCTATCATCCCACTTGCGCCTGGCGGGATGCCGATAGGTCACACCTTGAAGATAATCATGATGGGCTATGAAGATGAGGATGAGAATGAAAACGGAGTGCTGCTCGAGCTATATCAAGTTGTATCAAGAGGATGTTGCAAAGTTGAAGAATTCTAAGAAGTTGAAGAAGCAGAAGAAGAAAATCCCCGCCATAAAAAAAAAAAAAAAAAAAAAAAAAAACTTCATGGAGGGGAAAAAAAGAGAGAGAGTTGCCAAGACCACGAGGCGAGCATCGGCCGGAAGTACCTTTTCACTTTAAAATGTATGTAGAGGTACCTGCTAGCCATGTATCGTCAATGCAACCAAGCATTGTACAGCCGTCTCTGCCATTGCACCCATGAAACTCCGCAAGAGACACCAGCTTGAGGCGATAGACAAGTTCCATTCTACGATGAGCATCTCCTTGGGCTATTTTTTGTCTGTTTGGGGTTTTGTTTTTCGTTACCAAAATTTGTCTATTCGAAAGAGAACACTGTCACGTGACACATCACTCTCTTCGTCCCAAAGAGGAAAAACGAGCGAAAAAGACGAAGACGACGTCGATAAAACATACAACATACAAGAAACAGAGTCTATATATATAGAGAGAGAGACGGATCGGTCAAGCGAGAGAAGAGTAAGAGTCGTGGGCCCTGGATCCAGACAGAGGAACTGACTGCAAAATAGATGTCCGACGGCGCCGGACGAGAACATGCAGCGCTGGGGATGGAAACGATTTTAATACGTAGTACGCTAGATGAAAGGCGAGACGAAGGATGAGAGACGACAGAGAGAGAGGCTGAGATCACAGGCATATCCATACTATTAAATATCGACTTCCTCGGCTCCCCATGAAGCGCCTTTTTAGCTCCACCTCGGAAACCAGGCTTTGTACATCCATCTAGCTAGGGGTTGGAAAGCTGGGGGTTTCACCCTTTGGCCGACGAACGCTTCTCTCAAAACATATATGACAAGAACCTCCAAAAGACGGGAAGACGAGAGGAAGAATATAAACGGAGCCTCTTTGCCCGTGGAACCCTCCGCAAAACCTTTTCGTTCCTTCCAGGCTCCTTCCTGCGGCCTTATCATAAACAAAGCCATCGTCTTCCCCGGGTTGTATTTTTCGAAGATCCTACACAGATACACCAAATTGCTGGCTCACTACCAGATATCTATCATCTATACTCCTAGGCCTATCGTTTATACATCTTAAAACTCCTCAGTTGTTGGTGGCTCTTCTCTCTTATATTGTTAAAAAAATTTACAATATCAATGGCTTTTACCGTCCAGGCAACTCCACTGCCTCCAGCGTCTCGTCCAGAGGAGATCTTCTCGCCAGCTCAGTGGGAGACTCTCCTTGCTGTGGCAGACACTATCATCCCATCTATAAGCTGTACGGACTCTGCCAGCTCTTCGGCCAGCCATGTCGTTGGTCAGTCAGAGTTCGACGCGCTTGCTTCCTCACTCCGGCCAGAGACCGTTGAAGACGAGTCCGAGGCTACGAAGGCTGCAACTCGGTACCTGAAAGAGAGTGCGTCTTCGATTCCAGGGTTCAAGGAAAGCTTGTGCTTTACATTAGGCCGTCATGTTCATCGAGAAGGCCTCAAGGGCATCGGGTCGGTTCTGGCCGGGCTCAACAACTGTACAGTCTCACTCCTGCTCACCGGATCACGGATACCCTTTCAACACCACCCCTATAGTGTGCGTAGGAAGATATTTTCTTCCTGGAGGACATCATATCTGCCGCCCTTGCGCGCTGCTCACCGTGCCCTCGTGGCCCTTAGCAAAAAGGCGTGGGTTGGCGTGAGCCCGTCATTGCCCGTCGTTCTCGGATTTCCCAACGTCCCTGTCCATAGAATGACCAGCGAGAACTACCCTTATTCCTTCCTTCAGTTGCCTGCTGGAGACCAGCCCGAAATTATCGAGACAGACGTGGTTATTGTGGGGAGTGGCTGTGGTGCTGGTGTGGCCGCAAAGAACCTCGCAGAGGCTGGCCATAGGGTCATCGTGGTCGAAAAGTCTTACTTCTTCCCCAACAACCGCTACCCTATGGCCGGAAGGGAAGGGACTTTCCATATGTTCAGCAATGGAGGCGCCGAATTATCAGACGATGGCTCAATAGGCGTCGTCTCCGGCTCGACCTGGGGAGGAGGCGGCACTATCAACTGGTCGGCGGCACTGCAGACCCAGTCGATGGTACGGGAGGAATGGGCCAACGGAGGGCTACCTTTCTTCACCTCTTCTGCCTACCAGACCTCCTTGGACCGGGTGTGTGACTACATGGGAGTGTCTAGTGACTTCATTGAACAAAACCATGGAAACAGCGTACTGCTCGAAGGTGCACGTAAGCTGGGGTATACAGCTAGGGCTGTACCCCAGAACACCGGCCATCAGAAGCATGACTGTGGATACTGCACGTTGGGCTGTGCCGCCGGCATCAAACAGGGGCCCGCAGTGACCTTCCTTGCCGATGCAGCACGAGCGGGGGCAACATTCATTGAGGGCTTTAAGGCAGAAAAAGTTCTGTTCGGGAAGAAGCTGTTCAAGGGCAAGAAGGTCGCGGTTGGTGTCCAAGGAACATGGACTTCACGAGATGCCTCCGGCGCAACCCATGGCGAGCCAACTGTGACAAGAAAGGTTGTAATCAAGGCGAAAAAAGTTGTGGTCTCATGTGGGACGCTGGAGAGCCCCTTGTTGCTTCTTCGTAGCGGGATTAGCAATCCTCAAGTTGGCCGTAACCTCCATCTTCACCCAGGTAATGCTCTATTCTTCCATCCGCTTTGGTCCGTACTTAAGATTTTCTAATATCGTTATAGTTGTTATTATGTCCGCAGTGTTCGAACATGAAACTCGGCCATGGGAAGGCGCTATATTGACCTCCCTTGTTAGTGATTTTGAAAACCTCGATGGCCGCGGACATGGATCGAAGATTGAGGCTGTCGTTATGCTTCCGAGCTTCTTCCTTCCCCTGATGCCGTGGAAAGATGGACTCGATTTCAAGATCTTTGCTTCCAACGCGCGCCGAATGGCTGGCTTCATTAGTTTAACCCGTGATAGGGACACAGGTAGAGTATATCCTGATCCTAACGACGGGAGGTGCAGAATTGAGTATACCCCCTCTGCGTTTGACCGAAAACATATATTAGAAGGAATCATTGGTGCTGCGAAGATAGCCTACGTATCTGGCGCAAAAGAAATTCGAACTTCGTCTCAAGCCATCCCGACGTTTGTCCGCCCGGAACCGTCCGCCATGTCAGATGCGGATTTGGTTGATGAAGGGATCAATAATGCAGCCTTCCAGGAGTGGATTAAAAAGCTTCGTACTGGTGTTCCTCTCCCGGTTGAACAGTCCATGTTTGCAAGTGCCCATCAAATGGGTACATGTCGCATGGGCACATCTCCAAAGACCAGCGTTGTTGACCCTACCGGCATGGTATGGGGAACCTCCGGCCTCTATGTTGCTGATGCCTCGGTATTTCCAAGTGCTAGCGGCGTCAATCCAATGATAACAAACATGGCCATCACAGATCTGACAAGCAGGAAACTTGCAGAGCTTATGCGTCAGGGTCCAGAAGTTGGCCGGTCACGGCTATAGAGCCTTAGAAGAACTATCCAGCAAACGCCCAAGTCTTCACCACTCACTCCTATGAAGCAAATATCCTATTACTTTCAGTTTCTCCTTGACGAATTCATGCACTCATTTATCCTAGCTTAACTTCCTGTAACTCATGAGGCTCTGTGGAAGATGATATCCATATCTTATCCTTAGTAAATAGTTAACATCTCTCTTCTCGCAAGCAAGGTATCATATAACTTCCTATTGTGCACTCTTTCCTCGTGTCTACTGGTTAAACTAAACATCTAGCTGCTGCTACAAGGCTTATGATTGCGCTGACAACTCCGTTTCTAGGCTTCAAGGCGAGAAAGGACGGCCATAAACATTGCGGCAAATCCCTCATAGATATGCTCCTTTATGCATATCGCTCTAAGACATTTCTCCTACGGTTTTACTGTTTTATCTAGTAGTCGAAGAGTCCACCTTTGGGGACACTGGGGTGGTTCGTAACGGTAGCTAGGATACATTTTTCACTGTTTTGAATGCTTAATATATCATATAGCAAACAAGCTGGGTGATTCCAGAATATTATATATCTATCTATTTGTGTAGAAGAATATGGAAGAATGCACCAAATTGATCAAGAGTAGCAAACATATGTATGAATGAAGAAAATTATTGATAGAAAGCCCAGGAAGAAGCGAATATTTCTCGTCCCCCCCCAAGTCCCTTTGTCAATGTAGTTATATGCGTTTCCCCTTCTCTTTTGCGCCTTTCAGCAACTCCCGGATGGAACATGATTAAGAGAGCGGTTCTATAAGGTAGGCCTGATCGAAGAAAGGGACCCCTTCTCGCCACCGAGACTTTCTTGGGATATCGATGAAAAATATTTTGTCGGCCACGATATCCGAACAGACACACAATAGGATGACGCATGGAAAAGTTGAAGAACTGAATAGGGAGGACGTGAAGAGGTTGGCGCAGATATTATACCTCGATATCAACAATTCCCAGGAGCGAGAGGCTGCCACGAGATTAGTCGCCGAGCTGCCTTCATATCTTCGCCGGTCACGGATTCTCTCATTGGTGGTGGATAAGCTAAGTCTCCTACGAGAGCCTTCGAGCTCCGCATGTTTCACACATAAGCCGCTTAACAGGGAAATCATCCATGCGGTCTGCGGGTTCATACAGGCTGAGGTAGGGGAGGGCCTTAACGGGCTGGTGTCAAGGCAAACGAAACTGTCGATAGAGCAGAGACGCATGGTACATAACCTCCGTACGGTAAACGGGCTGTGGATGACGAGAACGGCAGTGGAGAGGAAATACCTCATCAGACCGTCGTTTACCTGGTATTATCAGAGCGACGGGTGCGAGGCATGCATGATAAGCCGTTTTGCGAGAGACCGAGCAGCAATAACAGACATGCGAACACTCCTGCTGAGCCGAATAGGGAGACGGAGAGGTAGAAGCCTACCACCGCTTGTGCGGTGGATAGAAGAATTGATGAGCTGTCATGGACCGTCTAGTCTGGAGATGTTTGTATTCAGCGGCGAAGATGCGTTGGAACTGAAGGCTTTGAGAAAGGATATCAAGGCGACGCCGTTTCAAGGGTATAGCCAGGCCACAGACCATGGAGGACTGCGGAGGGCAGGGAGCAATGTTACCCATCGCACAAGCAGATGGGTATCAGTGAACATGCGCCAGGCTGCCAGACGACCGCGATCATTGGCAACGATTCGGCGTCCTGATAGTAAGTTTCAGGCATCAAACGCTGAGGATGATGCTGGGAATGAGATTATTGATTATTATCTGAGCCGTATTCGACCTGATAATAACCCAGATGGTGTCGTAGAAAGACCGCCCAGCCTAGAGCCGGAGATAGAACCAAAGCTGGAGCCGGAGCCGGAGCCAGAGCTGGGGAGAAGGTATAAAATTGAGAGGGCTGATAGGTATCGCCCAGCAGGCTGTGGCATGTCAGTCAGGAGAAGTGAGTCTCTGAGATCGCATATGAAAATGCACTCCGACAAGAGGAGCACTCAGCTCAACCTTTCACGGTCATTGAGCATACCTACCTCACGGCTAAGAGGCGTCTGCGACGAAATGTCGAGGCAGAGTGCGTATCGCAGAGGCAGCAGCGCCAAATTCAGCTACAGTGTCGGTAGACCAGCTCCTTCAGGCAAAGATCATTGCAGTGGTCTGACACGCTCGCAGACAACCAAGACGAGCAAAGAGTATGCAGCAGAGTACCAAACGCTACTGGGCGAAAGATACCGGGTCTCCTGCTATTCCCCATCCAACTATAGCCGAGCGACATTGGTAGACGCCCCTATAATTACGGGTAGTATAGGGCAAGGGGGAAAACGGCCAGTCTCCGACGCGACAACTCACTGGAGCATGATAGACGGTGGCGAGAATACCGATCTGCCTATTCAGGCTATCCCTCCGTTGAGGATCCGTAAAGAGAAACGAAGGATAGGAAAGGTGTGACAGTCGAAAGGAAACAGATAGGTGGAAGGGGACAACTGTGATTCTCGACTATTCAGGGGGCCTTTAACGGCGAGATTTTCTGTAGCGATCAACGCGGCTGATAATACAAAGTTGGAGAAGATATTCAAGCTCAGGGGGAGAGGAAGGAGGGGGGGGTTTGCTCCAAAGGTAGAATGTACATATTAAACCTGTAGGTATACATGTTCGAATAAAGAGATAATGAGGTACAATTGGGGGGGAAGGAATGCATGTGAATTAAGAATAAGGCTGGGAGAAAAAGAAGAGTTCTCCAACAACAATTCATCACCAATCATTCATATAAAAGAGAATAATAATAATAAAGGGATATAAAAGGGTGATACCCAACCAAGAAAACAAAGCAAATAGAATGCTTATAGAGTAAGGGTAGGCATGAAAGCAGAAGGCTAAGGATTAGAAACGTATAAGGTCCAGTCCAGTGAGCTTCAGTTGGGGAAGAATAGTAATCGGAGGTAGCATTATGAAACATTATTACAAAGGGATATAAAAGATGATGGAGGGAGAAAAGGTATGATCATTTATGCTGGATGCTGCCGCTCAGGCGGTGGGTTAAACCCTTGAGGGAGTCTGACTGTGGAGAAAAGGAATTGGTGGTTTTGCGGACACTGCGCTTGAGGAGAGAGCGGGTGGAGGCATCATCATCGACTCGAGAAGCCACGACTACAGTTTCCTGCTGCTGTGGCTGTTGCTGTGAATCATTGTCCGGGGAGTTGTTGGCCAAATCTTGATCGACCATATTCTGTGCCGCGATTCGGGACCGTTCGTATCGTTGTGTAACGTCACCCTGCCAGCGGGTATTGAGCAGGGCATCCCAAAAGGTGAAGAATGGTTGGCTGAAGTTTGTCTTGATACCCCAGCTTTGGTGGTGGATATCATGGTAAGCTGCGTTGTTCGCAGTGACATGTTGCAAAGGATCCCATGGGAAGGCATAGCCGCAGTGGTCGTCGACAGTTTTGAGGGTAGAGCAGGTGAAGAACCACATTCCCTGCCGAGTAGTCATGCCACATGTGAGAAATGCAAGGCCGGTCCCCGCCGTGTCGAGCAGGAAGCCCTCGAACGGATGGTTATACAAGGCACCGAAGGCATATGGCACGTATAGCCTATGATGTCTCGAATGGAAGGTAGCTGCACCATATTAGAGTACTGTCTATAAAGGAGAAGAATAACAAGGGACGGGGGGAAATAAAAATAAATAAACATACTGTATAGCCATTTGTTCATATGCATTGCGCGGTGGAGGAAGTACTGCCATGTGTCGACGAATGTGATGGCGTACAAGAACTGGAGCACGGGAATGAGGTAGAAGTATATGGCGTGACCAACAGCCAACTCCCAAGCTGCAAAAGCGGGAGCTGTGGCCGTCTCTCCGGAGGGCAAAGTGATCATCTGGGTCAGGAATGGGTAATGGCCCCCCGACACAACAGCAGCGAGGACCGGGTAGGTGGAAAGTTTGGCCGCAAGCCCTACAGGATCAACCCCTATCAGGGACATGAGCTGTGGTATGGCGCGCTGGGCGATGCGGATGCGGGTAGCCCAGACAGCAACATCATACTCCTCTCTGCCATTGAACTCCGGCTGGTCGAAGAAGATGAGAAGGACGCCGAAGAGGGTCTGGATAACCTGTTGTATGATGACATCTCGGACCACCTCCCACCGGGAGACGTGGTTTCTCTTCAGAATCTCTGCAGGAGTGTGGAGGCGGTATTGCGGAAAGTAGTCATTGACATCTATCCAGTGGAAGGCCATGGAGAGAGCCCAGTAGGCGACTATGGGGAGGATGAGGATGGTGGCATTGTCCGGAATAGGGGAGATGAGCGGCTGGCGGGGAGTCAGGGTGTAGGACGGGAGCGGCGGAAGCTCAGAGACGGAGGAGTTGAACATGGCGGACTGGTCGGAACAGTAAAACAAGTGGCCCTGGTGAAGTAGAACAGCGGCTATGAGGAGGTTCGTTGGCCCGCCTGTCACTCGAGATTGATAGCTATATCAGACGGCTGATGATGCTGGGCCCATGGGATCGAAACGCGGAAAACGAGAACCGGAAAACGAGAACCAAGACGAGGCGAGACAGAGAACAATGACACAGACAAGTCAAGGAGAGGAAACGAAGCCGCTCGGATGGCTGAAGGAGAGAATCGAGCGAGGAGAGCGTTAAGGGTTGTCGAGCCGTTTGAAGTTGTTGAAGTCGAAAATCGAAAATCGAGAGAAAATCGGAAGTTTTTCTTCTTTCCTTTTTTGGAATTCGTAAGGTGATAATCACGTGGTTGACATGACATCACGTGTTTATAAAACCCAACTTTTTGTCTTTTTACCAACTTATACCAACTTATATCGTATTATCAGCTTATCAAATTATATCAACATGTATCAGTAGTATGGGTATGTCGATATGTTCAGATGGAGTTTCTCGTTTATATCTGTGTGGTTTCTACCAGCGAACCAGGAGATAGGCAGGTCAAAGTCCCTGATCTCACGGGTTTTATAGACTAATTGACAAGAGCTGAAGACACAGGATATCAATTTTATAGAATTCCATTGTCCTAGTATTCTAGTTAATGTGAAGAAAATCTGGCGATTGTCTATCCATCACTCAGGCGCATGACTTGCTCGTCGTATCGCTCGCCTTCGACGGGATTCTGGGAGAGGATGAGATTGATCTTTGCCATGTCAGCTTCAGCCAGAGGCACCACCGTAGTGTTCTCCAGCACTCTCTCCCGCCTGGTAGAGCCTGGGATGGGGACGATGGGAACGTTAAACTCCCTCTCCAGGGCCAGCACCCATGAGATGGCAATCTGGGGCAAGGTTACCCCTTTCTCTTTGGCGATACCCTCCAGCGCTTTGACGAGCCTGATGTTGGCCTCTATCGTGTCCGATTGGAATCGTGGAAAGTTTCTCCTCCTGTCTCCATCGGGGAGGTCATCTGGTGACTTGATCTGACCGGTTAGAAACCCGCGGCCGAGCGGTGAATAGGCAACGACGGGGATGCCGAACTCCCTGCATGCATCGAGGATCCCGTTCTTTGTCGGCCCGGTGCTCCAGAGGCTCAGCTCGATCTCCACAGCAGCAATGGGGGCGACTTTGGCGGCACGTCGAATCGTCTCTGCCCGTACCTCAGATAGGCCGATGCCCCCGATCAGGCCCTCGTTGCGCATCTTCAGCAACGCTCTCATCGTCTCTTCGATCGGTGTGCTCTTGTCCACGCGGGCACACTCGAAGATATCAATCTTCTTGGTTCCGCCAAGCAATCGGACGCAGTTCTCCACGCTGGGCCGTACCCCTTTTTCCGTCCCATCGAAGGTATGGTCTTTGCCCATCCCGCCCTTGATGCTCAACACGACCTTTTCTGTGTCCTCGGGGTATCTGGTGAAGTATTCCCTGAGAAGCTGCAGAGAGTTCGCATCCGGGGGCCCGTAGAGCTCTCCGCCGTTCCAGAAGTTGGCTCCTTGCTCAAGAGCGACCTTCATAACTTTGAATGCATCTTCGTAGGTCGTTGGATTGGGAGTCCATGTGAAGCCTGGCTCCGTAAACCGTCAGTGAATCCCATTGGTCTTCCGGTCCTAAACACGCTCGTACTATAACTCACCCATCAGCCCGTAACCGATCTTTCCAACCGGCTTACCGAGTATTGTTGTCATCTTCATAAAGCTAGTTCGGCCTGCGAGGGGTTGAGTCGTGTGTGGTGTCTTCAAATATCGTCGCCTGTTTTTCCCGTTAGGTCAACGTGTAGCTGTGGTTACACTTGTCTCTTAATGTCGGACAACGGGGGGTTGCTTTAAACATGTCTTATGATAATATCCCGCTCTTTTACGTCATTTTTTGCTGGCTTCTCCTGTTGAGCGGAGAGGACGGGAATTATCATTTGCCACCGGACCACCCCGGATGGCAGACAGAGTCTAGATATTTTATCTTAGAATAATAATTAAAGACATGATAAATGAAAAACATGTGCAAGTACCTGGTAAGGAAGATATTCTTGTTCGTTGCTTCGTCAGTGCCTACATATATGCAGATTGATGAACCCATTAAAAAAGAAAGGGGTTAACGGGGGGGGGGGGGGAGAGATATTCTAGCTTCAAAGCTCAGCCAGCATACCTAGCCTCAGGAAGAGATGACGGTTATTTGTGCAAAAATACAAATGATGCATAATGGAATCATGAAGAAAGAAAAGGGTCAGAAGGTAGGGCGCTATAGTTTATGCCCTAGTTCTATATCTTCCCGGCTGGGGGAATGGGTTTCGGAAAATTCCTCTGTGAACCCAGACACACGACGTTCCCTCGGCCGTGATTCTATATTGTCGGATACTATAGCGTTATCTAGAGAAGCGGGTATTCCTATGCTGGAGAAAGACGACCCATGGCGGCCGTGTGATGGCCGGGGTGGGTGATGTAGTTCTCGCTGATTCTCTGGAGACGGCGAGGTGGCAGGGGATATGGGGCTGATAAATGATGGAGTCTCGCTCGGGTGTCGAGCGGTAACTGGGGTATCGTTAAATGGGGTGGGCAGCTCTGATGGGCTCATGACAGTGCCAGCTGTAATGTAGAGTGTTAGCTGAAGGCATTCAGTTATTATGTCAGGGGGAAAAAAACTTACCATGCATCTCATGAATTGGAGAGCTGCCTGCCTCAGGAGCATTGATTTCGGAGTAGACGATGGTGGGCGGAGGGTGTGCATTTGGAGATATCACCGAGTCGATCCCAGAGTCTGAATATATGCCCGTTGAAGCATGTTTGTCATTAATCCCGATTTCAGTCGAGGTAGTTGTCATGTCCGGTTTGTGTGACGGCTGGCCCATTCCATACATCCATCCCAGGATGCGCCTCCTGGCAACTTCACTGGTGCCTCCAACGCTGGGGGCGTATCTTCTCTCTCTTCGTCGCCGCAAGATCAGCCACACCACTGCTAGAGCCGTGATGAATATCAGACCCAGGACAACACCAAGGACGGCACCGACCCACCGAGGGAGACCACCGCTTCCCCCTTTATCCCCTCCAGGGGAGGATGTTGCACCCGGGGTAGAAGGGGCTGCCTTGGCTGGTTCGAACGGATACCACTTTTCAATAGTCTTGGTGTACTTTTTGCCAAAAATGCCCTCAAGCTTCTCGTCGTCCCAGCTATCTGGTTTCGTTTTGGTAGCACCTCCTTTACCACTGTCATCCGAGAAGTTAGTACGGACCACCCAAAGGACATCGAACGTGGAGGGGCTGCCTTACGTTCCGCCAATCTTCTTGGTTATCACTTCCGGAACCACATATTCGTTCCACTCCCTTGGATCATATTTATCCTTAAACTTGAGGTCGTTCAAGCTGAAAACCCGGATAAATGGCCCCTGCAGACATGCTGTCGGCGAGGAATATTGACCGCCAATTATGAACATCTGGTCCGGGTATGGTTTGACACACTTATGAGCGCGGCGGCCCATGTTGCTCTCTCCATTGTACACCTTTGTCCAAGTGAACGAAGGAATAGAAAGAATATAGATATCATCGTATGGTCTGACGATACTCTCAGTTCCGTTGTATCCGCCATATATATAAATGTTAAATGAGCTCCGGTCTGCTGCTTCCGCCACAACTGAACAAAATGAATTTGAGGCAGGTGGGACATCGCCTTTGGTCTTTTGCGAATACCTATCGAATGCATCAGTAACCAGCAACTTTCACAGGTCAGCCGGAGGGCATTTGTATTTTACCATTCGCCAGTGCCGACATCATATAAACTAACTGTCTCCATAAAGGAGGGGTCTTTCTTCGCCTATTAAAAGGTGTCAGCAGTACGGTCAACAGAATATGCTGTGACCAGGGAGAGAGGCTTACATTTTCCTCCTTTTCTGAACTAGATAGGCGCAAGGAACGTATAGATTCTGGGTTGGTAACACCGCCTATTGCAACTAGGACACCGTCAGAGACAGGAAGCCAGACAAGCTCCGCACTTGACCTTCCGGTAACACCTGTAAGATTGTCACTAGCAAAATTTGGCTCATCAAACTTGGATAAATCGACGGAGACAAGGGAGTTAGCGGTTATGTTTGGCTCAGTAGTCACGTCTATCACTTCTCCATCCTTTCTCTGACTTCCACTAAAGTAGTAACCCTTGTTTTCACTCGGAACAGACACCCCGGCTCCATGTGTGATATAGCGGGTCACATCTTCACGAATTTTGGGTAGGATGGGGCCGGGTTTAAAAGCTGGTTTTACCGGGCCATATTGATAGGCGTCATATCCATAGATTGAAGTGTTTGTGGGAGTTTCGAGTGGTTTAGGAGTGATGCCCCTAAAGCACACGCCCTTGGTAAGAAAACGACATAATGTAGTTATAGGTAGAATTTCTGCATACCCATAGGTAAGAAGCGAGTAGTCATTGCAAAACATCGTTTCCGTCAACATATTGCGGGGGCAAGAAGGCTAGCATCCCCGGCCGGGGAGCCTGGGTATCTTGCCAACCAGGTCGGTAAAGTTGGTTCCCTTATCAAAAGAGGAGTGGAAGGAAAGAGTGAACATGTGGTCCAACTCGGAACCTATA